GTGTTTGAATCAATGATTTGGGTTTTTTTAGGAGCTGGACAGTTGGGAAATAACAGAAGTCTTGGATCAATGTCCACTGAAGTCTGTGGAAAGCTTTATGCCAATTTCAGTTGGCCTTCCTTCAAGCCTTTTAAAACTTTTCATGAATATTTGGAACTATTTTAATGGGTGTGAAATGATATTTAACTCTTCCCTTTTAGTGATTTTTCATCTTGAGCACACTCACATCCACATAATGGTATAGATTTCATGGATTTCTTTGGCCATTGTTTTAGTTAAGAACACAGTGGGTTTTTTAACACCTTATTTTATGTATATGCTTCTAACACTGAATAAGGCATTCTGGCTATGAGCAGTATTCCTTAGGAAATATGTGCATGCTTTTTCATACCTCATTTAGTTGAGATACTCTTGTTCTTGTGCAAACTGTAATTTAACTTCACATCAGTCAGTATTGAGTAGTTACGTTTAGGAGAGACACTGAAGTTAAATTATTCATCTGTTTTAATTCTCAGTTTCATTTTGTTAGGCTTTTATCTCATTATTTGCATCTGGTTTCTGAAACTCCTCTAACTTTAAAATGCATAAAGCTGTTGCCATCAGTTTAATTAGCATGTAATCAAAGTGCCTTGTATGAAAACAGAGAACCCTCAGACACGAGGCCTTTCCAGTCTGGAGTGAGGACTTGTCAGCTCTCAGCTTTCTTAAATTATGGGAGAGAAGTAGGAGTTCTGCAAATTCTTCACTCACTGTCACTGCTCTGCTTTTTATGGAGGGTCTGTGTTTTCTGGAGATGCTGAAACCCCAAAGTGAATTAGGTTTACAGGCTGGTAAGCTGCCAAAGGCTCCACTCCCAGTTTAAGAACACAGGGGAGCAAATGGGAGCAGCCTCTGCTGCTGCCATGAGATGTGTTAGGGACAGATATGTTAGTGATTCTGAAAATTCTTCCTTGTTGATTGAAAATCAGTGGAAAATCTACCTGATTTTATATAGTTGAGATGATCTTTTTCAGTGGTTTTAACAAATTCTCCTTATTTTTCAATTTGTAGTCTATGTTCAATTAAAAAATCCGTGAAGCAGACACCATGTTGTCATTGCCCTTGTACAAATCTCATTTTGAAATTCTTCTTCCTTTTGAAACACACCAAGAAAACAGAACAAGTTCCTTACCTTGGTGATTACAGCCAGATACTGAGGAATTTCACAGAGGTGTATTGGATCTGAAAATTCCTTCAGCCCAGAACTAAGCAAACATTTCAAAACAAATAACGAGAGGAGGAGGAATGTTGCCTTTTTATCTCTTCTCAACTTTTCCACAAACAAACTGCAAGTTCCTCTGAATTATTGATTCAAAATTATTTGCTAACCACACAGGTCAACTTGTGTCTTTCCATTTTCTTTCCAATGGCATGGAATATCCCTTCCAGAAGAATAGCAAATATGTGTTGTGAGGGAAGAAGAAAACAGCAAATTCCAACTGAGCAATCTCTTGGGTGTTCCTTCCCACCATATTCTCACAATTATTGCTATTATTAGTGATAGCCACAGTGGGATACAGAGGGAATAGACAGGAGTCCCTGGCCTTTTTCATGCTGTGTTGTCTAGACTTACAAGAATGTTAGATTTTGTCATCCTGCTTCCTCTCATGTTGTTATAATTGCAGAGAATCTGAAATAAAAATGGAATTTTGACCTATCTGACCCTCTCCTCATTGTGTCCTAAACCCATCGAGGTTAATGTAAAGTCATCCTTGATTCAGGGAAAATCACATGTAATGCATAAAGCTAAAGCAGAAAACCCAATTCAAAAATTTCCGCGACAGTTTTGACAGTATTTGTTCTGAAGTCTTTGAGCTGGATGAATACATTGAATCTAACTCACAATTATGGAGATGCATTTTGTTTCATGCATTTGTAGAAAAAAAAATCCCAGCATACCCAGGAGTACACAGTAACCAAAATCTGGCCTTCAAAAACTGGAATTCCTTCTTGGTGTAAAGCTAGAAAAGATGAATCTGTGCCTCTGAATGAAGATGGAAAAGAGTGAAAAGATGAATCTCCTGCCTCTGTGCCGTGGCATTTCTCAGCTGGCATGTGTGCCAGCCAGCACAGTGGAGCCATTGGCCAACTTTGCTTCACCCAACACTACAATTTCAGAACCTGCAGGAAAAGTGCCTGGCAGCTGTTGTCCCTCTGCCCCCTTTGCAGTGCTCCAGAGGACTGCAGCTCTGTCTGAAGCCAGGTCAGCATTCTCTGCATTGCTTTGGAATTCCCGAAGTGATTGATTCAATGTGAATGCTTGAAGCCATCCCATGCCTGGAAAAAATGGCAAATGGTGTGTGATTGAATGAGTGTCCAGACTGCTCTGTGGCACTTCTCCTTTCTTCTTGACAACTTCACAACTTCATAAAACTGGATGTTATCAAAAAGAAGGTATCTTTCATTCACACAGCATTTTTCAACTTGGAGGATGAGTTTGATGTAAAACCCAAAGAAAAAATGTCTTATTGGAGATTTAAGGTCATTTCTGTTGGAAAAAAGTGACTACATTTGTGAGGCACTCAGTCAGCTATTGCCTCTGTAAAGGTGCAGCAAAATAGAAGCAGGGCCCAGAATTCAGTCACTTCTTCCCCCACAACCATGAATTCTCAATCCACCCTTATAATGTTAAATATAGAAATGATGTTTGGGGCTGAGACTTCATGTGCATCAGGGGCAGTTTCTTTCTACCCCCTTTTTTTTCCATATGGTTCGAATCATTTACAAAATGAATCCTACAGGAATAATTTCAGATGTGGAAGCCTTTAAAATGGGGAAATAAGAACCAGATTCACTACATTTCTCTTTTCCAGCTTGAAAAAAAAATAAATCTCTCAGCAGTGCCCAATTATCAGTGCATTGAAGATAAAGATTGCCTCTCAGAACCACTTGTAAATTGTGTGATGACACACATCATAAGGATTAAAATATTGGTCATCTTCCCTACAGGAAAGTATTTTGTCATGACCAAATGTGATCTGACATTTGAAATATGCCAACTTATTGCAGTGAGCAGGCGAGTTAAATTCCTGTCAATTATTTAAAACCTGTCTTTTATTGATGGAGGCAACTTTAACCTTCTTTTAGAATGTTAAGTAGATACAGGCTGAGATACATAATTATGAATTCATGTTGAAGAGAGGAGAATGGGAAAATTGTGTATCAGAATATAATTGGTGTGAGACTACTACTACTACTACTACTATTATTATTATTATTATTATTATTATTATTATTACTATTATTATTACTATTATTATTATTATTACATTTCAGAGTGCAATTAGACCCTCTCAGTTCACAGTGTGGAATCTCTTCTATTGCCAAAACTGAGATCACGGTGGGACATTGTTAGCTCTGTTATTGGGTCCCTGTGAAAGGTGCTTATTTTGGGGAGTACTGCAAAGCTGCCTTTGATTTGGATCAGCAGAAAATAATTTCTGTGAAAAGAGTGGAGTAGATGACTATAGTCTGTTGAGGACCTGTAGATCTTTGATAAATATTTCCACCTGGAACAGACTTAAAATCAGTTTCTGCATTGGTTTAGTTAATGGTTAAAGCTGTGAAGATTCATATGTAACTTTCAATTTTCACTTGCTTTTCACTGTGTTGAGTTTTCCTCTTGGGACACAGTTCTTAAAGCACAGAAAATTCCACAAATCCTTAAAAAATACAGTGCTTACGTTAGGCATCCAAGCTGCTCTCCTTGTCATACCCATGGCATTCAGGCCCTGGGAGGTTGCTCTGAAGAAGAACATCCATTTCAGAAGGGAAGAGGTGAAACATGTGACGTGTCTGCATTTTCAAAGATATTTTTGAGGAAGGAGGTTGGAATCATGGTCTTGGAGGACTCAAGATGTGGGGCAAGATGGTTTGCAATTGATATTTGTTTGTCTGCACATATTTTTCTGAAGCCTAAGAGATATGTAGTCCTCGTGGGATGTCAGTTTTGGCAGGAGGGTGTTGGCACATGGTAGAGCCTCACTGATCCAAACCAAAAATCTGTATCTAGTATTACGTATATAATGTAATAGAATTACCTGATGAAACTTCTTTTTGGTTTTTGACTTGGTAAAAAAGGGTGTTTATTACAACATGTTTTACAAAACCAAGAAATGAAATAAAATCATAACTGATTAATGAGCTGCATGGAAATACTTCCTCAGTGCCACCCACATTTCCCTGGCCCTGATCCTGGAAACACTTCATCACATGTGCAGTTTTATGCACAGATCCTATGTGAAAACTACAGTGTAGTTTTCCCATACTTGTGTCTTTCAGAGATCCAGGAAGGAAAACAATCAGATGCTTGCCTTTACTGATTAGCTTTCCCTTGTAGGAGGGTATACATTTTACATTGTGTTTAAATTATGATTAAATTGCAGGGAGTTGATTACTGAATGATGGTCCTTAGATGTTCAGATGCTTCAGGTTTGTGCTGCTGACCTCTTATGTCATTTTCTACTTGGAATGCCCTCAAGTCTGGGACTCCTGTTTGGTAATACCTTGTTGTGAAAAAGCTGTGAAGCTTAATTCAAATATTTTCTTCTATGATATGTGCACCTATGAGAAGTTGTGTTTTCCAAAAGTGCTTCCTTTTTATGTATATCCTGTACACAAACAAACCTGTGTTGTGAAGAATAAGTTAATATTGCACATTAAATTATCCATGCTATTGTGTGAAGGTGCTGTGCTGCACATTTGTCATGGTTTTAATCATGACACCATCCCACAATCTCTCCGGTTTGTGTTTTTCCAAATGGCAAACCTGGTCATCTCCAAAAGGAAACAATGCATATTTAAATGAGAAGAATATCCAGATCATAACTTGAATAATCTGTAACTTGAGTAGCTAAGCAGTGTCAAGGTGCACGTTGTGGTCAGCGTGGGCTCTGCAGGAGGGTCGGTGGCTGTGAGCTGCCAGCCTGCTCTGTAACGCGTGATGCCGTGTCTCTTTGCAGTCGGGATTGATACGCACGCAGCAGATGGAGTTTCTGATCTCCCCGTTACCTCAGCGCCTGGCCCGGGAGCACAACTACACGTCCCCCGCCGGGCACCACCCGCACGTGCTGTACAAGAGGACGGCAGAGGGGCAGGTGCACGGGCCCCCAGCCCGGCCCCATCCCAAATCCATCCCCCGGGGCCGGCGCAGGACGCGCGCCCACCCTGCGCGCCCCAGCGCGTACCACCACGGACGGTTCCAAAAGCAGCATTTTTGTGGACGTCGCAAGAAATGTATGTAAGGAAACTTTCTCTCCTTTCTTGAGGTAGTGGCTGTTTCAGGCTGGGTCCTGTGGTGGTCCCAAGGGGTGCTTCATATCTCTTCACATCCTTTTGGGATGGAGGAGTAATAACTTTAAGTTATATATTTCTAACATGAAACGCATATGAGGAACTTGAGTTTTGCTCTAAGTTCATAGAACCACCTCTTTTATTAAGCCATCAGAATCACTGTTTAGTTTTTGTGTGCTTTGCCTAGATTGAAAGATCCCAGTGGTGATTTTTCCTTGCATTGACATACTTTTCAGTAAGCAATTCTGCACAGTGATGGATGCCAAGTCCCTGAACTTCTCTCTGTTAGACTGGGGATAAAAAATTAATTAGGCTTGAAGATGGAGAAAAAAGCTTCAAAATCATTAATTTCTGAGAGGATAGAGAAAAAGTATTTCAAAACTCACCATTTGATAATGAAATTTTCAGCAACTGAGGTCTTCAAAAAGAACCACCCATGTAAATTGTTTAAATAAGATTTTGGAGCCATGTCTTAAAAAATATATTGAAATATATTATCCTGCCAAGATCCATTCTGAGTCCGTCATTAGGCCCTCAAATTGCAGAACATTTTAGAGCCCCCTTGGACCTTATATCTGTACTTTTAGCATTCAGTTGAGTCTTTTTGAAAGCTGATCAGCTTCTGAGCTGAGTTTCTTAATGAGGGTTTCCAGGACTGCAAACAGTACTGAAAACAGTGCCTGAGTCCGCTTGTATTCTTCCAACTTCCTACAGAAGTTCTGAGAAAATGAGCAGCTTCCTTTTCCAAAGGTGTGTAAGGAAGAAGGAGAAAATAAATAGAAGGGAAGGAATGAGAAAGTAGTTAGTGGGAAGGTGGCTGGCTGAGACTGAGGGCTGAAAACAAATGGCTTGTTAAAATTTCAGAGATCCTCCCCCCAGGCTTAAAAGCCAAACCCTCACTGCCAAATGCACAAGGCTGTGATTCAACCTGTAAACATTTGCCTTCCACTGCAATCCCAAACTGCCTCATTACATCCTCCCTTTCCCTCCTGTCTGGTTTTCCTGCTGCAGAGCAGGGCTGATGGTGCTCTACACTGGCCTATTTTATTTGGATTGTCCACTGTGAGTGTGTGCTTTGTTTACTGCTCCTCCTGTGACTGCTTGTCCAAAATGAGAATTATCTATGTCCTCTTGAGCTTTTACACAGTGCTTATCCCCATAATAGAGGAGAGCATTTTGAACACTGTATTTGTATGACCTCCTGGGATGTGAGAAGATATTATTGTTATTCTTGTCTTATAAATGGGTCACAGACACAGGAGAGGTCAGAAGTAACCAGCGATTCTGGGAACCTAATTGAGAAACTGAATTTTCCTTAAAATACTTTGTGCTTTTGTAAGTCTACATGTATATCTATTTATTCAATAATTTCACTTACAGCTATGAGCTCTTAGCTGCATATTCAAGCAGGTTTCATGTTAAATGAAGAATATGCAGTTAGCATCCAACTGTGATGAATTTAGTAAAAGTGATTTACTCATTATTGTTTAGGAACTTGATGTCAGACACACTCTTAGGATCTGATTCAGCAAGATGGCATTTAAGTACCTTACCCACAAAAATCTTTCTTTTCACACCCTGTGGTCTTTCAGTTTGTGCTGTTCATACCTGTAACCTTTTTAGAGTAAGGAAGGAGTTCTAAAAAATAACAACTTATTTCCAGACCCAGTCATGGTTAATTTATAGAACAAATCAATCTCATGTTCACTGAATGAAATAAAAATAAAATCACATGCCATTGTTTAATTGAGTAGAGGAAAACATAGGATGCAGAAGAAATTACCCTAGTAAAGGAAGCCCTTTTTCTATGAGTATTTGGTACCTTTTTCTCCTTGCCTTATTTTTTTTCCCTCTTTTTAAGTTTTTACCTTTTTTTCCTGGTCTTATTCTGAGATCTGGAGTCATATAAATTTGAAATTTTCAGCGAAATCCAATCTGGTCACCTGGAATAAAGTTTCAGCTCCAATGAACAAAGGGATGGAGAATTCAGGCTGACAAAAGGGGATCCTCTGCTATTAACCCTGCCTAGTCAGGGTTAATTTATCCCAGCCTAAGAATGAAATCAAACTTGCTGAGCAGTAAGAGGAAAGAGCACATTGCCACTTGGGTGTCATAAAAATAACTTGTCCCATCAACTTGTACATATCATCTTTTAAAATTTCATGTGCAGAGACTTTGTAAGCACTAGAAAAGCCAGTTAATCATCTTCCAAGCTCTTTGTCACAACCTAAATTCTTTTAGATCATGAGAGTTAACTGGAATATAGTTAGTAAAACTTGCATGAAACTGCTGCTGCTGCTTAGGTTTTCTGAGTAGCAGTGAGGGTAAATTCAAGAGCAAGGCTTCTCTGCTTATGGATATATTCAAGAGCAAAACGTCTCTGCTCATGGATATGTGTGTCCAAAGCACTGGGGCTGTATTGCCTTGAAAACAGTCCCTGGGCACTGATGTGCCTTGAGCTGAGCCCTTCCCTCCTGGGTGAGGCCTGTCCTTGTGTCTTGATGTGCTTCCAGAATAGACAAGTTCTTTGATCTTGTAAAGGATGGTTGTGTATAATGAGTGATACACTTGAAAATCACCATAACCTGGTCCTTTGTATGTTGAATGCACATCAGAATGCTGAGTTCTTGAAAGCAGACCACTGTTGTGCATTCTGTGGTGTTCTTGATTCCCCAGCTTGGCAGGGTAGAAAGTAGGGTCTGCTTTAGCTCCCTGGAATAAATTTCTGATGAGGAACATGCAGGGTTTTTTCAATACCTGAGGCTCCCTCATTTGTCTTGTTATATCCTGTGTCAAAAAAACCCCAAAACATTATTATCCAAAGAGTTTGTTAAAGTGGCCTTTGAGTTAATTCTTGATGCAAAGGCAGTGTAGGTTGATGCAGAAGAGCCTGTGGATGGATAGCAGGAACACTGTAGGATGTGGGAGATGGATTTCTCTTCTCAATTTCTGGTTCCCTGAAGAACTAGAGCAGAAACCACTCTCCAGCTGTGCCACTGCCCGTGCTGCACCAGCACAAAGGACGAAAATGCTCCCTAGAGCTGGGATGTGCACTGCCTGTTGTCAAGCCATCCTTGGTGCTGCCTGACTCTATAAATACATTCCCAGCAGGAATAATCTGCTGGCAGTTTGTCATGGAAAGCCAGTGTCAGTCCCAATATTAGGCTGGCAGGAATTTTCTTGTGGTGTGCATCTGATTTCTGTACTGCCCATGGAGATCTGTTGTGGAAAGGACTTTTTTGCCAACCGCTATGTAAGTAGCACATGCCAAACACCTCAGGAAGTTATCAAAAGGACAGGAAAAATGCAGATACTCTGTTAAAAATTCTGTTGTATTTTTTTGCACAGATGCTACCATTTTATTAGATTAATTCCTTATTTTAAACTGCTTTTTGAATACGAATGTGGTTCTCCCATTTCCTTCTCTCCCTGTAGCAGTCCTTCCCTCAGGAATGAATCAGGTCTTTTTTAATAAATATGGAAGAACTCAGCCAGAAGTATTAAATCACATGCTATAAAAATAATCTAAGGCTTTAAACCTGTGATACTTCATTTTCTGATGAAACTGTTCATGGGTGATCTGAACTCTTTCCAAAACAGATTTATTTCCTTTTAGATGCACCCAAGCCACCCACAGAAGAGACCTACATTCGCTCAGATGAGTACGGGACTTCTGCGAGGTTCAAAAGATCATCTGCTAAAATTCAGAAAAATGGGAGTCTGAATGTCGAAACCCTTGTTGTGGCAGATAAAAAAATGTTGGAGAAACATGGCAAGGAAAATGTAACAACATATATCCTAACAGTCATGAACATGGTAAGGTGGGGTGTCACCAAGGTGTCTTTTCTCTGGGGAATATTGGTGTGTCAGAGCGGGATCTTTCATTAGACAAATACTGATAACAAAAAGAGCAGAGACACCTCATGCAAGCTTTTCTTCAAGCCTCATCTAATTTAGTACTATTACCAAAAAGCCTTTAAATACATGTCTTTAGAACATCACAGCTCTGACAACAGTACTGAAGAGTAAAGAAAAATAGTTAGAAGGTATTTAAAATGTTAAATTTTAAAATACTTCTTCTGTACTATAAAAAAAGGCAGATACTCTGAAATTGACACTTTCATTTAATATCATGAAGCTTTATCTGTTTCATCTCACATCTCCTAGAAACACTTATTTGAGAAAGCACAAATATATTTCTATAAAATTGATATCATTTGACTAGAAATACGTTTTCCTGCATGGCCTTACTCTTTACCTTTGTACTGCAAAACTTGAGCTTGGACTTTGGCCTTAATTGCACTTGATCCAGGAGAGCAAGGACAGATCAAAGCCCATTGAAGTCAATAGAAGGTTTTTAACTAAGTATAGTTTGGGACATAATTGCTTCTGGTTTGAGCTCTTTTGGGTTAATCCTACAAGGTATCTAACTCCATAAGTTAGAACTGAAAATTGAAGTCCAAGGTAATAACTCAGTACATATGTTTAATCTATTAAAAAAGGATTATGCATGTAGGTGATATTTCCTCTCCCATAATCATTGCAGGTCTCTAGTCTGTTTAAGGATGGAACAATTGGAAGTGATATAAACATTATTGTTGTGAGCCTGCTTCTTTTGGAACACGAGCCTGTAAGTTGTGTCAGAATTTTTGTCTGAGCTACTTCATTTGCTGCTGTTCATTGGGAGCACTGGGGGCTCCCACGTTGTGTGCAGGGAGGTTTCTTAAGGCATAGAGTGTGAGAACAAGATTAAAACTGCCAAAATCTCCAAAATGACACTTTCTGCTTTTCACTGCTTCTTGGGTTTTGATTCTAAATTCTTCATTTCATATAAATATTCTTTAGAAACATTGAAAAGCTTCCAGTAAGATAAAACCTAACATTTTTGAGTGTTTCCTTGAAGAGAAATGGCTGGAATGAGAAATCTATTTAATGAGTATTTAAATAAATGGAATAATTTTGAACTGGGCTTTCCAAGGTGCGGTGATCAGAAGTGGCAAGGAGTCAGAAGTCCCAAACTGAAGAAAACATGTAACAAAAGTTGGGAGCAGAGCCAATTCTTGTGTCAAGGGTGCTGAGACAAAAAAAGACAAAAATCACTTTTGCTGAAGTGAAACTTGTGAAGGGTTGAGCTGCTTGGATAATACTCTTCTTCCCCAGCAATTACAATACATTATAATCACAATATTGAATATGGCTTGGTGTTCAGCATTCTCAGAAATCAAATATATTTGTACACTAATTCCAGCCACCAGCTTTGGAAATATCTATGTTTCTGGGGAGAGGCCCAGTTTTGTTTTACAGTTGTAAGAAATTCCCTCATCAGCTGACTCAGCCATCACAGACAGTTAACATGGGAATACATAAGCTGATGTGGAACAAATATGAAATATTAGCTCCCCTCTCCCTAAGCAGCTGTTACTCTTTCAATCTCCTTTCTCACACACTGGAAACACCTTGTCTGTGTGTCTGTGTGTCCATCCCTCCCTGCAGGGCGGGCTGCTGATCAACCACCACGCTGACCAGTCCCTGAACAGCTTCTGCCAGTGGCAGTCTGCCCTGGTTGGGAAGAACGGGAAGCGCCACGATCACGCCATCCTCCTGACGGGCTTTGACATCTGCTCCTGGAAGAACGAGCCCTGTGACACTCTAGGTGTGACACCAAATCACGGGTGGGACACCTGGGGCTGCCCACAGCACGAGCTGAGAGCTGGTTTCAAATATAAATGTGCCCTGTGGCACTTTAGGTGTGACTCCAAAACACGGGTGGGAGACCTGGGGCTGCCCACAGCAGGAGCTGAGCTGGCTCCAAATAGAGAGTCCATTTTTGCACATTATGTGCCTTGTTGTTGGTCTTCTTGAAGAGGACAGGACAGTATTATTTCTGGATTGTCACCTCTTCAAGGAATATTTTTTATTTTGAGAATATTTCTCAATTTTTGTTTCTCTATTATTATTATTTATTATTATTTATTTCTCTGTTTATTATTATTTCTCTATTTATTATTATTTATTTCTCTACTTTTATTTCTCTATTTATATTTCTCTATTTTTATTTTCTTTCTGTGACTGCTTGCAGGTTTTTTTTTTTGCATGGGATTCCTCCCTAATTGAAGAGCAGTAAAGGCATGGTGGGGTGGGTTGGGGGGAGAATAATTTTTACAAATAAAGTGTAGTTGGAGAGGTTAGATTTGATTTATACTTTTTATATAGGAGTTCCTTAATTGTCAAATAAAAGTCTGCTGTAATTCCTCCATGATAAACCTGATGGAGTAGACAAGTGTCTCTATGTGCCAAAATAAACTGGCTTATTAGGACCAGTGCAGATGATATGTGAATTTGGAATTCTGTAGAGGAACAAGCTATTTTATTGCTTCCTTCCTTCCATTCCTCCAGGATTTGCACCCATCAGTGGCATGTGCAGCAAATACCGCAGCTGCACCATTAATGAGGACACAGGCCTTGGACTGGCTTTTACAATCGCTCATGAATCTGGACATAAGTAAGTTTCTTCTTCTGTAAACAAATATGTAAGTGAATTGAAACATTGCCTATTTAATATAAATCAGTTAAATATAGATCATTTGGATTGGCACATTCTAAATATAAATCATTTGGAAGCCCAAGGAGTGATAGTGAACAGGGTTCCATCCAGCTGGGGGCTGATCACCACTGGTGTTCTGCTGGGCTCAGAGCAAGCCAGGCCTCTTTAATACCTTTGAGATTCCCACACTGCTTCCATGTTCTGATAGGCAAATCCATTCTGGTATCCCTGTGGTTGCTCCAAAAAGAGAGGAGTTGCTGCAGGTTACTGCAGCTTCACTGGAGAGGGGTGATCTCTCTGAGTCTCTTGGAGGTCTCCTTTTCCCAGAAAATCCAGTTTTTCATAAAGAACTTTGAACCTGTCCTTTGTTCTCTCTACCTGTTTAATGAGTGATTTGCGTAAAACCCACCTTTGTATGGTTTCTGCCTTTCTGTATTTATGTCCATTGGATTTCCATTTGTTTTCTACTGTAGAAAGACTGTAGTTTTCTTAGAACATGGTGTCTCTCATACAAAACCAGTAATAATCTTTTGTGGAGCTTCAGCTATTCTTCAGGTTGTTGAATTAAATCTAAACAAGGGGATCAGATTTTGTTCTGCTGTTTTTTTCTCCCAATAATTTTGAATTACCTTTCCACAACTTTGTGCATGGTTTTGACTTCCAGTTTAGCACAGTTCAAGCTGGAGCCTGTCTCCCCACTGGCAGTAGAGAAGCAGAGTTTCTCTGTGTGGGACAAACCTAACATCAAGGCTTAGTTAAAAGGTCTTTATTTTTCAGCAACATAAATGCACAGAAAACCTTTGGAAAGCAGTGGTGCTGCATTCTGCGGATTGGTCAAGGCATGAAGCCTTCCCATTCTGCCTGGCTGCTTCAGCACTATTTAGTTTTCATTGCACTGATGTGCTCTGCAGTGCACACTATGACCTAATGTCTACATGAGTGACCCTTTCACAGGTTTCTGTGCATCTGAAGGGAAGCAAGGAATTAAAGAGTAATCCAGCTGCCACTGAGGCCTGTGGGAATTGTGCCAAAGCATTCAAAGAACCAGATATGCAATGTGAATATTGTGTGATCCTCCTGTCAAGCTAATGCAGTTTCACTGACCTCAGTACATTTTTAATGCCCTTCCATCAGTATTAGGAGAGAATCAGGCCCATAGCTTATTTTTCAAGAATGATCCCATTTAGTCTCTTGATGTTCTCTTCCCTTTTTATTTTTTCTTATTTGCTTTGGGAGAGTCAAATTGGAATTTTTTTTTTCCTTTTTCACCACCGCCTTTGATTCACATATTATTCCATCTTTCCTTGTTGTACTTCCATGCTCCTAATAAAATGCTTCTTATCTCTTGGGAAAAGCCTGTGCCAGACACAAAATGTCTTTATGATCATTTGTCATGTTCATGGTCCTGAGACTACCTGAAATGTGATGTGAGACAACAGAAGTTGGTTTCTGTGATACAGAGATCCTTGGAAGGAAAAAACCTGAACTGTGACAGCTTTGGGGGTGCTGAGGTGCACTGTGACTGTATTAACCAAAGATTTCACAGGGGGGAATATCACACTCTGTGATCCACTGAAAGATTCAGTGGTTAAACATTTTTCTGTTTTGTCAGACATTTTAATGATTTTCTAAAGTTTGTGTTTTTACCTGAAACCTTAACGGCTCCTCTGGGTGTTCAGAGCCCATTGTGTCAGTGGGATATAAACTGGGGATTCTCTGGCTGCAGAGCAGGGGAGCACAGTGTTTTATGAAGGGCTCTAAAACACTGGCTCAATTGGTACTTTTTTTGTCCATTTATAGGAAGAGCCATATATTTTAGGAAGTTTGGAGCCTCAGCTGGTGGCAACACATGCAGTAACTCTGATGAGCCTGTAATGATTTATAGCAGGAGAGGCTTGAGTCCAGTAAATGAGATATTCCCTGCACATGCACAGAGATTACATTTATAAAGTCGCCAGTGTTCTACAATATTGAAGTAACAGATGATGAAATTTCTATCCCAAACACATTGAAATTCACAGATGTCCCATACAGTCAGTAAAATCAGAACAGGGAAAGGAAAACCTCTAAAAATTATCTTTATTACATCAATAAAATCCCTATAATTTGTAATTATAATGTGATTTTTTTATTATTGCTTATTATTTTTTATATCATCCTAACCTCTCCTAGTGAAAGCAGGGCTTCCTGATGCTCAGACTGAGCAAAACACCCCATAAGAGGCAGTTTTCCTAGTAAGAGGCACTATTCCCATTAAACAGTTCCAGTCTAGACAAAATGACACTGTATAACAAAGGTGAGGAAACCAATGTGATTTGCCTGAGATAATATAGCAAGTTAGTGGCTAAAATTAGAAATAATAATATTTTTGTATTCATACTTCTGTATTCTATTCATTCACACCCATTTCCTTTGCTACAGCTGGAGCTCTGTAGCTCTTCCCCCTGCTCAGGAAGGCAGTTTTGGTGTGTAAAGCACATTCCTGTGGGTGGTGTTTCCCTGGATTGTGATCTCCACAGCGTTCATGTCAGCAGGCATTGTCCCTGCAGAGACAGAGTCACTCTGCTGTGCAGGTTTTAAGCTGACATATCCCTAGGAAAGGACAAGTGTGGCTGAACGCAGGATCTGTGGTGTCCATCCACCCCACCATGGAACTGCTCTGCTTTGGGAAATGGCTAAACTGGGAAACCCTGGCATAGGCTGCAGCTCCTCTGTGCACTGTCCTGTCACTGCCTCCCTGTGCAGCACCAGTGTGGCTCTTCCTGGGAGCCTGACCATCCTTTCCCATCAGTGTGTGATGACAAAAATTCCTGCTAATTAAAACTTATACCAATGCTAATTTGAATGGTGCATAAGTTTTCATCTCTTTGGAATGAACCGGATGAACTCCATCTTCCCTGTGGAGTTCAAGCATAAAGCTGTTACCCAGAAAGTGTTTCTTTACCCCCAAATTTTGTCTTGCTTCTGTTTAATCTAGAATTTCTCTCTCCCACCTGGTTCTCTTTCCAGCTTTGGGATGATTCATGATGGAGAAGGAAATGCTTGTAGAAAAGCTGAGGGAAATATTATGTCTCCCACACTCACTGGAAACAATGGAGTGTTTTCTTGGTCTGTGTGCAGCAGGCAGTATCTCAACAAATTTCTCAGGTAGGTCAGATGTAAATCTGGGCCAGTGCCAGGGAAGTGCAGCTTTAGAAACTGGGCTTGAATTCTTGAACAGCATAAAAATTACTGAAGTGTGAAATTCTCCTGCTTTAAAATGTGTTCAAACCCTTGCAGTGTGTGAGCCCACAGGCTCGGGCTGCTGCAGCAGTGAGGTGGTGTGGCCTGGAAGGGCTTTTTTGTCCTGCCTTGTTTCAAAAGCAGGAGCTTCACCCTCCAGGAATACCCTGCAGTAATGACTGGCATGTCATTCTTTCCCAGGCATTCCTGTCAGCAGCTGGGTTTATTAGAGAATGAGTAAGAAGCATACACAAAAGAGGGCAGACTCAGTGGTACCAAAGTCATTACAAAATGTAAATTAACATCAGTGGCCTTTCTCACTGGAGTTTCTCTCCTGATCTAGCTCATGTCATGAGTAAAGGCCATTTTACATTTTTCACATCCTGTTTCTGGGAGAAACAAAAAAGGAGAAATGGAAGGTTGTCAGTTTTTTTTCCCAGTGTGTTGTCATTACTCAGTGATGCCTTTAGAGGAACTGTTCTTCAATCACTGTTTAATTCATGATTACATTAATCTTTCCGTATTTTATTTTGTTATTCATGGGTAGACTATATAGAAATACTAGAAAATGTATAGGAGGTATTTTGAGCAAGAGCAACACAGGCATTTTAGATGTTAATTCCTCAGAGTGAGAAGCAAGCACGTCGGTAGTTATGTGGACCTGGTCCTTGAATTTCCAGTCAATATCTTTGAGTTGTAGCCAGAAAAGGGAAGGGAGTTCTGGGGCTTTTTTCATGCTGCAGTGATGGAATATATTTTTTGTATAGAAGTAAATTGCAAGCTTAAAAGCCCTCCATGCTGCCATATGGTCCCAGAGACTGACACTTGGAGGCAAATCCAGCATGGAGTGACCTTCTGTGCACAGGGGCTGCCAGGCAGAGAGGAAGGGGAGAAGGTGGAGCTGGGAGCTGTGCTCTGCCCAAACCAAAGCACACACCCTGCTGCAGCCTCCTGGAGCTCCACACAGGGCAAATGCTGCAATGGAACACTGTGCCTGCTGCTTCTGCTGGCTCCTCATTTGGGGAATCCACTGATGGGAAAGAAGCAGATAACTTGCTCTTGGTTATCCAGGAATACAGGGAGGCAAGGAATTTGGCATCATTCTTCCTTGTTGTCACAACAGTCCCAAAGCCTGGAAATTGCTGCTTCCTTAAAACTTTGCAGGTCAGGCTACCAACAAGATGTCAAGAACTTTTGGCTCCTGCACATAGATATTCTTGTTTCAGAGCATACCTCTAAAACTAGTTAAAGGCACTGTATACCATATTATGTATTTGTGCTGGTCTGTAGCAAATTAAAATATTTTGATGTCAAGATCATAGTCATGATTAATTTACCTTCTCATTATAGTACAGCTCAAGCTGCCTGCCTGATTGATGAACCTAAGCAAACAGGACAGTATAAATACCCTGACAAACTGCCAGGGCAGATCTATGATGCTGATACCCAGTGCAAATGGCAATTTGGAATGAAAGCAAAACTGTGCAACCTCAGCTTTGTAAAGGTACCTATCCATGCACTTTTGGGAATTTACAATGGCATGAGAGAACTGCAGTACACTGAAAAAAGTACAAGTACAGGGCTCTTCTGAGGCCTGAGCTATTTCTCTGCCTTATCTGGCTTGGCAATTTGCTTTGAAGGTACTTTGAAGGTACTGGCCTCTTTTGAGGAATATCCCAGCCCCAGGGGAGTTTCAGAAGGAAATGTGTTCCTTCCAGGAGTCATAAGGGGGGCACTTGAATCCACACGAGCCATGAACCCTTGCCTGCTGTGCTAAGGGAAATTAGCAGGCAGTGGAGTTTTGATCAAAGCTTGTGTGGGGTAAGAAGGACTCAGTTTCTTGTGTTTTGCTTTGATGACAGCAAAAAGTCTGGGAGAGATCTATGGGGTTATTTTAGAGCAATGAAATGTAACTTATACTCTTGACTTCATGATGAATGATTAATTTAGATTAACCTATTGTTTTAATGACTGTTACACTCCTTACTGGTCTCTTCAGAGAGGGCATTTTTAAAAATAAGCTGGAGTGAACACTCTGAAAAAAGATATGGTAATTTCTTTTACTCCTGTTATTTTCCTGAAATATTTTGATTTATTATATACTAACTACATTATTCAAGGGCTGGCAGCTGTGTTTCTTCCACAGCTAATAGACAAGGAAGAGGGAGTGAACAGCACTGTGCACAGACTGCCTTTCCAGATATCTTCTGTGGTTTAGAAAAATCTTGTCTCTTCACAGTGTTATAGTCCCTGCAGACACGATGAAATTTTAGCCATGAACATTTTAACACTGTTTGTATTCTATTATAATCTCACACTCAATATAATTTTAAGAAATATATAGTGAAATGGTGCATAAACAAGAAGGCACATCTGTGCTAGGAAACTTTAACCCAGGCTTTTCCAAATTCAGAAAAGTTTATTTATATGTCTTTTAAGGTAGCAAAAGCATGTTTCATTGGGTACTCTTTTTAAATACCAGGAAATAATGGAAATTATGAGCACTATAGTGAGTACTGTTCCCTTTCCAGGATATCTGCAAATCCCTTTGGTGTCACAAAGTGGGTCACAGGTGTGAGACAAAGTTCATGCCCGCAGCAGAAGGAACAGCTTGTGGTATAAGTATGGTAAGTTGTTTTATAAATAAAATATTGTCATCCTAACTTGAGTTCAGACTGTGTTTGGTCAAATACAAGGTCCCATCAAAAACAGTTTTAGCTAGATCACTCCAGATTTGCCATCCTAGGCTTTGTAAATGATTCCACTGTGATGCATACTCAGGATGTGGCCTCCCAGTGGTACCTGGCTGATGGCAGGGCCTGGTGCCTCTCCCAAGGAGCTGTGGGATCAGACATCTCTGGCAAATCTAAATCAGTAAGAAAATACATGAATTATAACAGGAGTTAGATCAATGTTTCCAATTTCACTCTGATATGAGCATATCTTAAGCCATACTATTTGCTGTGCAGACTAAGGCCATATTTTCATCAGAGATCACCACTAAAAGAGCTTATTTGTCTGAGTCAAACCTTCTAATTTACACTCATTTGTTTGTATTTACCCTCATTTTTTGCATTTATTTGAGTTGAACCTTCTAATTTATTCTCATCTATAGTTATGCAAAATATTTTCTTTACCTGAAAGATTTCTTCCAGCAGGACATTGTTTTGATTTTGAAGTTACTGACGAATATTCTATTTTGCTTTTTCTCTTTGTGCAATATTTCCAAATTGAATCATTGAATATTTCCAAATTGAATCATGAAAGGGAGACATGTTAGCAGAATTCTGGGAGGCTGTGTGTAAATTACACGGGAAGTGTTGAGGCTCTGCAGCTCAGGGTCATAAAGTAACATGGGTTTTTGGGGGAAGAGTAAGGTGAAAAAGCACTCTTCAAGAGCAAAGTTTTGAAAATTTGCTACCCCAGGGATCTTCAACTCAAAACTTGGAAAAATATTAGAACATTAGTTATGTGTGCCTCTGCAGAGTCCTTGTCCTGCTGCGCGCCGTTCATTGAGTTCAGTGGGTGACTGCGTTAGGATCAAGCATTAGAGCTTTTAAATTTTGGCTGATTTTTTTCCTTTTGTGCCTGTCCCAGGGTGTGCTGACTGTGTTTGTGTGCCTGTCTTGCAGTGGTGCCGCAGAGGACAGTGTGTGCAGTACGGGGAACACGGGCCCAAGCCCGTCCATGGCCAGTGGTCCGCCTGGTCCCAGTGGTCCGAGTGCACGCGCACCTGCGGAGGGGGCGTCACCTACCAGGAAAGACACTGCAATAATCCAAAGTAAGATATGGAAAGGTCGTGTTTGTGCTCTATTCATGTTCCTAGGGCAGGAAATGAGCACAGTCCCCATTTCTGCAGGGAATGTTTGTAAGGCTTTCTCCTGTGTCCAGTACGAGCACCCGTGGGTGGCAGACACTTCTGTGCCCCGGCACCAGAAAGCGGAGCCTGGCTGCAGACTGCTGCAGCTCCTCAACATCCCCACTTGCTTCCTTTATTTTGGGATGCTACAGTTTATCAAACACCTGCAGAAGTAAGGAAACACTGTATAGACACTTTTACATTGTACACTTTTACATTTTACATTTAAGGAAGCACCATACAGACATTTTTTACCCCTAACAGCCTAAGATCAAGAGAAAAAGATCTTAAAAACCATTAAGACTTCTCCTGAGATCACATTATCCAGGATGATAAGGACAGATGTCTTTGCATGTCTGTCATGTTCTTTGCATTCTTTTCTATTTCATGAGTCAAATGAAAGTTGCTGAACCCTGCAATTGTGTGCTAACTCATGAAACATTTTTTTATTTGCCTCTAATTAATACCTTATCTCTGTAAATACTATTCATTATAATAAGAAATTCAAAGTAGATTAAAAGTGTTAGCTGACCAGCATCTTTCCCAAGTACTCAACTCACTGCAGCTTACAAGAAAAGAAGGATTTCCCTGTTTTATTTCATACACAAATTCAGCAGGCATAGACACATGTATTCCTCATTGCACACAGTAAAAGCAGCATTTAAACTGCAGTAATAAAAAACAGAGAAAATATGACACAGTTTATATGAGGCTGTAAAGAAGCCTCTCATCTACTATACAGGGCTGCAGTATAATATCCATGCTTCATATACTGTGTTATAGGAGAGTGTGAGTTAGTTAAAATAGTCTTTATTACCCTCAGCCAAGCCAATTTTGCAGATCCGCAGCAGAGTGTTTTGTCAACCTTTTTTGCCATTTCTCAGTTCATTTTAGTAAATAAAATTACTTGGATATTTTCCTTTGTTGAGCAGTTTAGCACAAGAATGCAGGGTCTCAGAGGCCATATGTATATATTTTGGTTTTCCTGCTGTGGTCCCTGCTTTTCTTGTTGAATGAGTATGGCTGCACATTGTTCTCTGCATTTATGCATAAGCTCCCCCTTGCTCTCCTTGTGTGACAGGAGAATGTCCAGTAGTGGAAATGGTTCCGTTTGGTGCATGGTGTGATTGATAAAGATTTCTGGGAGCTTCAAACAGAATCTCTTCAACATGAAGTGTGTCATCTGCTGTAGCATTCAGAACTTTCCTTCAGAGTGAACTGTCTGTTCTAATGAAGTAAGAATTGGTGTCAGATGTCACCAAGTCATCCTTGGTACCAGAGCTGGATCATGTTTTCATTAGATTTAATTCCATTGTTTTAGGGGTAATCCAGTTAGGGCAAAGAGAAAATGGTATCATTCTCTCCCAGAGTTACATTGATGGAATGACAGGAGTACAAATAAGCCACAAAACAGTGCACACATGTCCAGCTAGCTGTGTTTGACATCACAGCATTTTGTATAAATGTAGAATCAGAAGAAAAATAATATCATCTATTTTCAATGCCACACAGAATGATTTGAGGACTAGTCCCTGTTCATTGTTAACCTCTAAAAATTCAGAATAATGATTCCCTTCTTTCTGAATTTCTCAAACATATTTCAGATATTTATATATTTTGATACATAAATATATGTTATTTTATATGTTATATATTTATGTCACTTTTCCTAATCCAGATTTGTGTAGGAGCAGATATTTGTTTTGTTCAAAAGCTTGATAGATGATTTTGGATAGCAAAATTTTGAAAATGACAAAGAATGACATTTCTGAAAATTAGATTAGAACAAGGGTGTGGATCTGTGAAGAACTGACAGGACTCTAAAATGAAATCACAATGATTGACATCTTATGAACATTGAGGGAAATGTCTCAGTTTCTGGTGATTTAAAGGTGACCCACATTACCAGAAATTTAAGGGCAAGTGAGGAATATATCATGAGGCTGCTGTGTGTGAAAATCTTGTTACCTGTGTGAGTTTGTGAAATCCTCCTCTTGCAAATAATGTCCAACCAATTCAATTCCCGTCCTCCTGCCAATTTTCAGACAGCCCTTGTGACCACACCCAAGCAGCTCTGGGTATGGCTTTGGAGCTTTGCACAGCTCCCACTGGAGCTGTGCACAAATTCCCACTGAAAAACACCCAGGGGATCACCTGCCATCCACACAGCTGGGCAGATTTGCTAAAATCATTATGTTCCTGTAAATTGTCACAGTGTAATTTCATGGATCTGGTTTTCATACACCACAGCACTTTACAGTTGAGGTACTTTTCCAAGATAGAAATTGATTGCATAATTTAATCGTTTGGCTGGGAAAGAACCCGAAGAGTGCCCGAGAGATTTAAATGAGTACCTGAATCATATCTGTGGGACTGCATCCTACACCTCACAATAGTGCATTGTTCAGCACAGCAAAATGGAGTTGTAGGCATGTGTCCAGTCAAAAGACTGAACCAAAACTGCTTGAACACACTTTAAAAAGTCTTTTGTATATAACATCTGTAATGGTGATTACAGAAAATGTGAGATGTAAACTGATGCAACTTAATGATGCCATTTAAAATACTTCTAAAAAAACAAATACTGTGAAAGGCATTGTAGACCTTTCAGATTCATGCAGATTAATAAAGCTTTGTGATACTATCATAATATTGGCACAAGATCAGCAGAAGGGTTCTTACATGAAATTAAATGATTACAAAAAGTGAAAATGAGGAGTCTGGAATTTCAGAGTCTTAATTCATTTGGTATTGCATGAAATACTTTCCTCGATCACATGAATTTCAGGATTTCTCACTCTGTGTTATGTTGCAGTGAATGCCATGGTTTAGGAACTCTACCCTTAAAAGGGTACTCTAGAATTAATTTAAACTACTCTTGTAGCATTTTAGTGTTTGAGTCTTATATGGAGTAGAGTATTTACCATTTTGCACTCAGACTCCTTTTCCAAATTTATCTTTGGAGACTTTTTGTTGTTGGCCTTTCTCACCAAATTTCTCCCAATTATCCTCAGCCAGACCTGATGCAGGTCACCCTGTTTGTGTCAGTTCTGGAGGGGGTCACAGAGGGGTGAAAGCTTTGGGCTCTATCTGTACTGGGGAAACTGTACCACTACAGAAATACTGGAATGTCCTTTGTGCAGGGCACCCCATTCTAAGTGTGGATACACCAACAGCTTTCAGTCCCAAAACCTACTGGTGTTTCAAACATCCTGAAGAAAAGCATGATTTCCTCAGTGTGGATAAGAGTATTTCCACAGGAATTTGTATTTGTAGATCTCCATCTCTTTTCCTGTGAATTACTTAACTCCTACTGACATCTTGTTGGTAAAAATGAAGGTGGAGAAGTTTCCATCACTCTCAAGCCAACAGTTTCAGTAATGGGAATGTACTGTAATATTAAAATGCTGTAATGGAGCTGGGAAACAGAATGCCTCTTTCAGAGCTTTCTTAGTTTGGAAGAATTTTGTCCCATCCTTAAATGCAAGAGTGCGGCTGGAAATCACGATCTAGCCATAAATAATTCTATTATATTGCTTATTTGGTGGCATTTACTTGGAAGGAGGTCGCTTCTTTCCCTTACACTAAAGCAGATTTGTTCTCTGGGGTTGAAGGAGGTCAGAAATCCTCCATGTGCTGAAGCTGTAGAGAAAGTCTGTAGGGAATGGAGTCAGCACCCAATAGTTTGGCTGCCCTAACTCAAAGCTCTCACCAATTGCACAAAGTCAACATAAACACTCCCTGATTTCACTGATGTTCCATATCCTCCCTGCCCTTCACAGGCTGGATTGCCACCAGCTAGGACAGAAAATTTGGCTTTAAGACCTTCACCATCATATCCAGTATCAGTGTAGCTGGCAGGTGACCTCAGGAAAAGTCAATGGAAGTTGTTGTGGTTTTTTCCACAGCACTGGTGATTTAACGCAGTTTTAAACACTGTAACAGGTGGGTTTCCATCTCTTTCTCTGAAAGACTGTTTTGCAGCCCAGAATTCTGGAAAAGGCAGATATTGTGTAAGTAAAACATAAAAAAGGCAAGTACTAGCTTGGTTAGAGGGTTGGACATATGGGAGTTAAAGCTGATACCACAGCAAACAGAAGAAGCACCTGGATTTTATCCCCCATGTTGCACAGAGCTGTCTCCCTGCTACTCCAGGCATGAGCAAGTCAGGAGTTTCATGGGATCCTTGGATGTGGGGAATAGTTACAGCTTAGTGTTTAGGGATCTCAACAAACAATATGTTTCAATTGCACATTCTATACCCTCAGAATTTTAAATCTTTGCTTTTAGTTAATATATCACTGTTATTCAGTATGTTTTCTATTATTCTGGGTTTTTTCCTTAATGTGTGTATAATAGGGGCAAAGATGTCCACTCAAAGTTTATATCTTGTCCTTCAAGTATGTAAGTTCCCAAATTTTTAAAAAAGTCATTATATAAATAAGTGCAAGCATAACATTGGTACATTTCTTTTCACTTGATGCCAGGCATGTATAATACAACAAAGGATTGTTAGAATTTGTTATTTTGAAGACTTGGCTCAGTGCTTGCAGATGTGTATCTGAGCATTGTAAAACTGCACAAATGACATCAGTGAATTGCTAAGTTCAAAAGAGCAACTCTTGCATTTTACATTGTTTTACAATATCTGAGCACAAATCCAATGGTTAAAAAAATAATATTCTGATAATGTGAGGTATGAGCAAAGGAATAGAATATGGTCTTTCCATTCTGGACAAGATGGAGGGAAATGCCCAGGTGAGGTTTGCTGAAGTGGATGTGACATGTTTTAAATTACCTCAGAATTCCAGCACTTTTCTAAAGCAGAACAACTATGCACAGTCCCTGTTCCCTCTGACTATTTAAAAGCACATTTTTTCAAAATTATTTACAAAATAAATGAAAAAGCAAATGTAATCATTCATTCTCTTTGTGTTTGATCAGTGTTATGTTATCCTTTATTAACTCTAATTGTGATAGGTAATTCTTTGCACATGTTCATTCCTTGGTTACAGCAGAGTAAAAATAGCTGTATAACAAGGTTGAACCCAGCCAGTACCAAATAGCCCTATAAATTTAAATTAGTGCAAACATGACTCACCTCTAGATGGTTGCATCTTTGCTGAGTCTGCAGTGATCCAAGTAGATAATTCATGTCAACTGCTTTGCTTGGTTTTAGGAACCATGAAAATTAATGGCCCATATAAGAAATACTGATCTCCCAGGGCAGAATATCCTCTCCTGTTCCCTGTAGCCTCACACACGTGTAACATGCCAATCACACAAAAGGGAGGCTTTGCAAATTCACCTTTTTCTCTTTCCCTTGCAGGCCGCAGTACGGCGGGAAGTTCTGCCAGGGCTCGGGCCGTGTGTATCAGCTCTGCAATAAGCAGCCTTGCCCAGCAGGCAGCCTGGACTTCCGAGCCCTGCAGTGTGCAGAGTACAACAGCAAACCCTTCCGGGGCTGGTTCTACAAGTGGAAGCCCTACACCAAAGTGGAAGGTGAGAGTGGCCCTGCTTTCAGGGACAGGGAGCTCTGAGCGCCCATTCCCCTGTGTGCTCTGGGTGGGCATCACCCCCTGTGAGCATCACCCCTGTGAGCATCTCCCCCTGTGAGCATCACCCCTGTGAGCATCACCCCTGTGAGCATCACCCCTGTGAGCATCACCCCCTGTGAGCATCACCACCTGTGAGCATCACCCTCGGTGAGCATCACCCTCGGTGAGCATCACCCCTGTGAGCATCACCCCCTGTGAGCATCACCACCTGTGAGTATCCCCCCTGTGAGCATCACCCCCATTGAGCAACACCCTCTGTGAGCATCTCCCTCTGTGAGCATCACCCCTGTGAGCATCACCCCCTGTGAGCATCCCCCCTGTGAGCATCACCCCCTGTGAGCATCACCCCTGTGAGAATCACCCCTGTGAGCATCAATCTCTTTGAGCAACATCCTCTGTGAGCATCTCCCCTTGCGAGCATCTCCCCTTGTGAGCATCACCCCTTGTGAGCATCACCCTCTGTGAGCATCACCCCCTGTGAGCATCACCTCCATTGAGCAACACCCTCTGTAAGCATCACCCCTGTGAGCATCACCCCTGTGAGCATCATCCCCTGTGAACATCACCCCCATTGAGCATCACCCCCTGTGAGCATCACCCTCTGTGAGCATCACCCCTTGTGAGCATCACCTCTGTAAGCATCACCCCTGTGAGCATCACCCCTTGTAAGCATCACCTCCATTGAGCATGACCCCCTGTGAGCATCACCCCCATTGAGCAACACCCTCTGTGAGCATCACCCCTGTGAGCATCACCCTGTTAGCATCACCCCCTGTGAGCATCACCTCTGTAAGCATCACCCTGTGAGCAGACACAGGCTCCTGCTGGGGCTGGGTGAGATGTGTTTGCTGTCTGGCAGAGCTGGAGCCAGGCTGCTGTGGGATCCTGCCTGCAGGGACATGCAGGATTGATTTGGGCTGGGAATTGGAGTCCTTGTCCTCCCCGTGACTCCCCGGCTGCTGCCGCCCCTCTCTCTCTCTCATTTTATATTCCTTATTGCTTAGTCTGAAACCCAAGCAAAACAATTTCCACGCAATTTCCAGCATGGGAAATGTAAGCTTCCACAATAACACTACCAGAATCTTCCTTCTTTTGGAATGTTCTCAGATTTCAAAATGTAGCAGTAAATCAACCTTTTGACTTTTCTGCTGGTATGGTCCCATGAGAAGGGGAAATGCAAACAATGTACTGGCATACATTTTTTAAAGTCATCTTTTACTAAGAGATCTTTATCAAGTTCAGGTCTCAATAAGTATTTCTGTTATTTTGCTCAAGCGAGTTTATTTTTACTTTATGCATCTTAATTTTGCAAATATTTTGAATCAGTATTCACTTTTATCAGCTAAAACAAATATTTTCTCCAGTTTGAAAGCACTACTTGAATATAAGTGTCTGAATTTTCTCACATCATAGCTGCTTTGTTCAGCACATGAGCAAATTTGCTTTTGATGATAATGTATATAATTAAATGTATACATGCACAATCATTCATAGTATGATTATATTTTCTTCAAAAGTTTTTGTGGACATTTTCACGGGTATTTTAAAATATCCCAACAGGCCAATGAACAGAGGAAAGAAGTTTCACAGCATGTAGCAGTGGATGTTTATAATAGGGCAAAAAATACATCTTGTTTAATAGAAATTAAGGTGGCCTACACTGGTTTTAAAGGGAGGAGTAAAAAAGTTTAGTGTTTAGTAAAAAAGTCCTAAAATTAGGGACAAGGGGCGTAATTGTCAAAAGCAAGATGTCCCCAAGTGATTCTGAAGTTGAAAATGCCCATCCTTCCTCTCAGCTGCTTTGTAAAAGCTCCTCCAAGATCTACATTTGTCGTCCTGGAAACATGATCTGGTTTTCAAAATTGCCACAGATTATTTCCCTCTGTAGAAGGGACTACTGGAAATCCAGCTACTGATTTTACAATAAAAGGATTCTCTTTTGAATCCAATTTCATGTTCTTAAAAACGGTTTTATTTGTTGCACTTCAATTTGTATAAAAACTCTGCATTTCAGCAGTTGTGATAATATTTATAATTTCATGACTGTTTTTGTCTGTGCAGAATTCATCAACCCTTTATAAGCATAACACACCACCCTTGTGTAAGGACAAATTTGACAATGGTTGGGATTTGTTGGAGGAAAAATACTTTTGTTAGGGGGAAGTCTGGCTGCAGTTCTAAGTTTCAGCTGAACTGGTCATTTGTGCCATGTTATCTCTCTCCCAAATTTTAAATAAACTTCAGATAAAATTATTGCAGTCTCCCATTTATCTTAATAAAAATGAAATTTGAGCCTGTGAGGCAGTGGAACTGAAGGCAGGGCGCAGCAGCAGCAGGGCTAAGGCAATGCTTTTACACTGAGTTTGAATTCTTAATTCTTTGTGTGGACAAGCAAATTCATGTGTGCTTTTAATAAAGCATAATATAAAGTACTTTATTTAGCTATATTTCTATTTAGCTACATTCTGGTGTCCTAAGTTGTCATCATGCAGAGTTCATCCTTGTAGCTTATCTTCTAGAATACAGGAAGAAGCAACAGCCAAGATGCTTTTTATCTCTTTACCAGTGCAGGTCTGCTAATGCTTCCTTGTCTTTGTTTGTTTTCTCCCCAGAGCAAGACAGATGTAAATTGTATTGCACAGCTGAAGACTTTGACTTTTTCTTTGCAATGTCCAGCAAAGTGAAGGATGGAACTCTGTGTTCTCCAAATAACTATGATGTTTGTATTGATGGGATATGTGAAGTAAGATAAATTTAAGTTTCTTACAATCCTAATGTCTATCTTTTTTTTATTAGTGGACAATTGAGTCCTTTAGGGAAAATGCAGCTGTTTCTTCAAATTCCCTTTTGTCTGAGTCCTTCATTTGTGCCTTTTGGTTGCAGCAAGTAGGGTGTGATCATGGACTTGGTTCCAAAGCTGTGTTGGATGCTTGTGGAGTTTGTAAAGGAGATAATTCAACGTGCAAGTTCTTTAAAGGCCAATACTTGACCCAGCACAAAGCTAATGGTAAGGAAAACTGTTCCCCATGACCATCAACTCACTGCTCTGCTGTGTCCCCATGCAATTTTTACGACTCCTTACTCATTCAGGCAGTGGCTGAGGGTCCAGATGTGAGCAGAAAATCACAGGGAGAGTGAGAGGAGAGTTCACATTTCTCCTGTTTCTTGGTAACAAAAAGGCTCTGAGCATAAGTATTGGTCAGTTAAACAATTCTCTTTTTTCTTAAGGCACATTTTCCCTTTACACATGTGAATTTCCTCTGAAAAGAGATTTTAGGATTCAGGCAAGTGAAAAAATAGCTGTCAGCAGCTCTGACTGGGATGGGACTGTGGAACATATACAAAGTAATACACAGCATAATTCCAAACATGACAGTATTTCCATGTCCATTTTCAAATTAAGTAGTCTGGAAGCTGTTTCAGTGGAAGCTCCAGGCACTGGGAGGTGGACTTTTCCTTAGTGGACTGTCACAGACTTCTTGGGAAATAATCTCACCACGCTGCAGTTTTTCAGGCATAAAACTCAGATAAGATTTCAGTATGCACAGGGGTATTTTGAGCATCTCTTTGCTGTTGGTCACAAGACATGTCCTTACTGCAGTAATATAGGCCAGGAAATTGTCCAGGATGTAGTACTGGAGCCCTGGCTGGCAGCAGGGAGATCCTCTTTAATAACCCTCTTCAAAAGGGTTATTAAAGCTTTCACAAGGGCTTTGTGAAGACTGCATCCCAGTGCACCTCACCTCACAGCCCTTGTGCTTGGCAGTAGTACCTTCAACTATTGCAGGGAACTACAGCAAAAGCTGCAGTGGAGCCACCATTTTTTAGTGTGTTCTGAATTTTTCTAAGGTGAACTTGCTTTTTCTTGCCTTTAATCACTAGGAAAAATTTCAGGAATTTAAATACCTCAGAGTCACTCTGATAACAGCCTGCATGGGGCGGGTCGGGGTGGGATGTTACAATCAGAACTGCCTTTTCCTGGTGAAAATGGGCTAACTTGGTGGGTCAGCTGTGTATCTTCTGAAGCGTGCTGATTTTCCAAGGGGCTCAGGGGGATGAGCCAGCTCTGTGCGTGCCAGCTGCCAACCCATTGCTGCCTCCTCTCCTTGCAGACTACTACGCGGTGGTGACGGTGCCGGCGGGCGCGCGCAGCATCCAGCTGCAGGAGCTGCACGTCTCCCCCAGCTACCTAGCCGTGCGCAGCCTGGCCAGCAGGTACTACCTGACAGGAGACTGGACCATCGACTGGCCTGGGAAGTTCCCTTTTGCTGGGACGGTTTTTGATTACCAGCGCTCCTTTAACCAGCCCGAGAGTCTCTACGCGGCAGGACCCACTAATGAGACGCTGGTCTTTGAAGTAAGCCTGGCTTCTGTTTGTTCCTGCCCTGATGTCCATTACAGAATTGGTGACGACAGCTTCAGCTCTGCACTGGGGCTCTCAGAGAGATTAACGAATAGTGTTGAGTCATGATAGCATTCAGACTTAATTGTGTGGTCAATCATGCTGGATTGAAAGGCCTTTCGCTGCTTTACCGAGGTCTGAGGTTTACTAAACTGTCATAAATTCAGTGAAAAGGAAGATGCATCAAACACCCTATAGCAGAATTTCTGAGTTGCACGGTGGTGATGGAGATTATGAATGCGTCCCATACACAGTATGCAGTAAAATCCAATTGTCACAGTGGTCACGAGGCTTGCAGGATGAAGAGAGAGACGAGAATGTTGACCTCATGTTCAGAAGGCCTGATTCACTATTTTATGATATATATTACATTATGACTATACTAAAAGAAATAGAAGGAAAAGTTCTCAGAAGGCTAGCTAAGCTAAGAATAGAAAAGAATCAATAACAAAGGTCTGTGTTCCAGCAGAGAGTGAGACCCAGCTCTGCCGTGAGTGGTCAGTAAATCCAAACATCCACAGGAGACCAATCACGGATCCACCTGTTGCATTCCACAGCAGCAGATAATCATTGTTTACATTTTGTTGCTGAGGCCACAGCTTCTCAGAAGGGAGAAAAATCCTAAAGAAAGGATTTTTCACAAAAGATGTCTGTGACATCCAATAATGTAAAAGTTAAAGGCACCATTATATCAATGCTCAGTGTTTATAGGTTCAAATGATGCTTCTGAAACTGCAGGTGAGTGGAGCCATTTTCACATCCACCTTGGAAAGCAGTCAAAATACCACACACAGGTTCCTGTAGAATGAATTTCTGTTGGTTCAGTTATTCTATTATATCTGTTTATCTCACAATCAAATTTGTGTCACCTGCTTTGTTTGCCAGATGTCCTGTGTTGCAACTATTGTAAGCAGAAAGGAAACTTGGTAATTACATGGTTAGTTCAAGTTTTACAATTTTGAAATTGGCATTTGCCACTGCTATTCTGAGAAAAACCTCTTTCTGCATTAGGTTGCTTAGCTAGATTTTCTTCTAAAATTCATTGGAATATCTGAGGGGCCATTTCTGGCTGAATCATCCAGGGCCTTGCTTCCTGTTAGCTCCATTAATTTTCCCTTTTCAGCTCTAGCAGCTTTTTGGCTTTGTAACTCAGCTGTTGGGTCTGTTTTGGTGAACCCTTTCTTCCCTGTGAGAAGGAAGGATCCCTCCCCAGCAGGGATTCAGTTCCTTCCCACACCTTCCAGCAGCACTCTGGAACATGCAGTGCCCCCGGGGAGCTTGGCACTGGTTGCTGTGCCCATTGGCCATGGCAGCATCCTGCTGTCCTTGTCCCCACCTCATATCCCAGCTGTGCTGTGCCCCCTGGCCATGGCAGCATCCTGCTGTCCTTGTCCTGATATCCCAGTGCCCCCTGGCCATGGCAGCATCCTGCTGTCCTTGTCCCCATCCCATATCCCAAGCTTTGGGATCGCCTCCCTCGCCCAGCTTGGGCCTGTTAAACCAAGAAAGAGCGAGCACAGACTGGGACATGAAGTGTTTTCTTCAAGGGTTATTAAAGCTTTCACAAGTGTCCAGAGGAGTATTTGGAATGCTGAAGAGCTTTGCTGCTCTTCCTGCTGGCTGAGTGATGGACTGAAACATGTCCTTAGGAAATACTGAAGGCCCTGGAGCATGGGCAGGTTAGACCTCTGTAGAGTGAACACAAGTTTTAGAACAGGCAGTTTGACATGGGCTAAGGGTTTGTCTCTCCACAAATTGCCATCATAATTCACAATGGCTTTTGCATCATTTTTCTTCATTGAAGAATTTTCATTTTGGATGTGTGTGCTCACAGGGATCTTCCTTTAGTCCAATCAGTTTGGTCTCCAAGGCTCCAGACATGCTTCCCTCCCTGCAAACCATCTGCCTTGCACCAAAACCACCACACTTACAAATACTGTGAAATGTTAAGCTGAACTCCCAGGAATCTTATTTGTCATAACCCAAAGTAGATTTCAGCTCTATTACTATTATTGTAGAGTTGAAGTATGAATAATAAATTGCCTGCAGGAAGACTTGGCTGCATATCAGGCACATACTTTGCAGAATAAAGATTAAAGAAAAGAAATTAATGCCAAATAACACTTCTATTTTCATCCTTTCAAATTATGCTAAACAGTTTTATTAAGATGTAACATTTAACTGGAGGCTGTTGCTCCTTTCAGAGCTTATTTAAGCTTCCCTCATATTTTTATTGAAATACCTACACCACTGGTGGCTGGGGATTCTAATGACTAAAAATGTTACATGTTCCCCAATTACGCATATCTATGAACTGGATTTAAGATGGTTTTTTCCCCCTTTAATAATTTAGGCAAAATTCAGCAAGCTCAATTTTGAAAAAAAAACCCAGAAATTTCTGTTCAGAGATCTGCATTATTTATAACTTACCAGTAACTCTAAGAAGCAAAAATGACAGAAAACTGAAGAAATATGTTTTGAGAAACAAAATTGCTGAATGTCTGCTTGCAGCCATAATAGTGAAACAAAACCTGCTTCAGCTCTAAATACCAGAAACTGACAGTAGGCTGAAAAAAGGGAATGTTTAAGCATACTACAGTGTAGCTTTGTTTTCATTTTTATCTCACCTACAATTTTCAAAGAAGCACACAAAACTGTTCCGCTGCAATTTTTCATTCAACTAAATTAGTTTTGTGTAAGATAAGGTTTTCCAGGGTTTGGACCTCAACTTCTTCCTGTAATCTTTAGATTTTTCTTTTAATTAGGCTGCATTCAAAAGAAATTTAATACTTTTTTTTCTAGATTAGGGCTGTTGTTTTTCTTCCAAAATAATCCAGTGTGAGCCCTAGTAAAATGGTGCACTGCAGGTATTGAGGATGTGGATAAGTTGTATGTATAATACAGGAGCTTTTATTATTCAGGTGGGCTGAAAATGGAAGGTTTTGCAGCTGTATTTATTGCTCTTCACCTATGAATGAATGCCAGATTAACACAGCTCGTGCCCATTTCATTCTGCAGTTAAAATTTTGGTAGAGATTTGTGTGGTGGCTGAAATGGTCCAGGTTTTTGCCTTTGTTTCTGCATGCAGAGCGGGCTGCAGGTATCCAGGAAGCTCAGGCTGTGCACGTCCTCTGAGCAACATTCCCAGGAGAGGATGGGACCAGACAGGTCTGGCAAGTCTGTGCTCAAGGCAATCACTTCCTTTGAAACGCAGTCATCCTCCAAAACATTTTCTGGAAAGAGACAACTGAAGCATGTCTTGAGAGAGCAGAAGGAGATGCAAATAAGAAAAAAAAAAACCTTTACATTTCCCATTGCCTTGCACAGCACAAGTTCAGCCTTGCAGTTCTATGAGATGTGGTGTATTTATATTTTATTGTACAGTGTGTTCCTATTCATCTGCTTTTCTGTCAGGGTTCTCAATAGTTCAGCTGAGCACGTTTCATTTCATCAGACATTGCAGTCCTCAACACTATTCAAAAATGGGTGAGAGACCACAAAAAGATATAGAGTGCTCTTCTTATTTACCCTAGAATTTCACCAAACCCTCCCCTCTATATCTATACTTCTATATATTATAGATATGTAATTATGGGAATGAATCATACTAAAAAAGACAAAGAGTAGTGACTCTGTAATTTAACTGGGTTGTGGGAGAAAAAGTACAAACTGTAGTGGCCAGATATTTCCTGGAGAGGAGAACATTGTGAGATGGATGTGGAATTAATATGCATGACTAGTATTTCCTGCTGGAAGGGTGAATGCATGAAGAGGTTTTGGGATTCATCAGGATCCCTTCTGGATTGTTCAGGAATTGATTTCACAGACAGGGGGAAGGGAAAACCCAGAAAACTGGTGTCCTTCAGAATTTGTGTATCAGTGTCCTTCTGAAGTTAACATTACTGATATTTTTGGTGATTATAGGTTTTCAAAAGCCAGTAAAAGCTGAAATGAAAAATATTAATGGATTCAGAAGACAGAAGCTGAAATGGCCCAATTTAGATGACATGAAATAATGGTCACTGGTCAGAGGGGTAGAAATATGGTAGAAGCTAATCTAGGATGAGAATTGATACCAGCTTTTTAAAATATAGTTTTTGTAGCATATTTGTCTCATCTTAAACAGTTTTTTAATTTTTAATTTCTTTTTTAAAATTTTTTATGTAGCTGAATACCTTCAGCTCATTTATCGGTTATTTAGACCTAGGTAATCCAAGGTCAGTTCTTCCTGTTTAAAGACCTTTTCAATGTTTTTATGCTAACTGAAAGATATCTAACTTGAGGAGAAACCGTCATTATATTTATCATTAATTATCTAGCTTTGCAAACAAGGGCTGCCAGTGGGCACCACCAGCTGCTGCAAATCCTTTGGAGAAGGAGAGTTCCCACAGGGCTCTGTCACCTGTGGTGTTCACTGGGTACACCCATTTGGTGGAATATTCAGTCCCCCTCCATAACTCACTCAAATGCTGAGAAAGATTCTGAAAGGGCACAAGAAAACAAAACTTTATGTGGGCATGAAACAGGCTGCACGGCCAGGGATTGAGGAACTAATTTAAAAACATGTGAGTTTTGTAATTTTGTGTTCCATTCTGTCAATAAGCAGATGAAGGAAGAATTGACTGTTTTGAGAAGTGAAATACAACTGGAGAAAGCAAAGTTTTCCAGGATGAGACAGGATGAGAATCCTCCCTGAAGTTTACCTCAAACTTGGTGAAACATTAAATCAAGAAATTGTGACATCTTTGTGAAATAAAGAGAATTTATTTTAACATCAATAAGTAACAGATGGAAAGGATGCTTTGTAAAGAGGCAGACCTCCACAGGAAGAGAAGGTGAATGGAGCTTCAAGGCAGGAATACATCTAATTAAATCCAGTAAATCACTTCCTCTTTATCAATAGGGGAAAACAGGAGAAGGGAGGCCAGGTGGAATGGCTTTGCTGATGATGTAGCTGCCACTGGGAGAAAGCCAAGTTGCAGTTATAAAGGATTACATTTATTATTAGCTACTAGATGATAAATTTGTACTGATTTCCCCTGAAGAGAAAGTAGGCTAAAGGGACCTAAGATGTACTTATAAGATACAGATGTTGACTCAATACAATGGATAAAAGGGTTCTCCTGTAGTGAGGAGAGATTAGCTGGACTGCATCCCTGAAGGTTGTACATTTAGCATGTGAACAGTGAAAAAATGGAGCATAATAACAATGGAAGATAAATTTGAAACAGCTGAAGTAGAAATGAGATCATATAGGACCCTTTCAAGGATACTTCTTTTCTTTTTTTTTTCCTTTTAATGACCTTAGTGGACTTGAAAAACAGTAGTTTGTCATAAGCTTTTAGTTAGGACTGTGTTTAAAGTTATTTTAGAAGTACTGAAGAGATAAAACCCCTTTTGTTTTAAGGTTTGGCTTAAGTACCCAGTGGGTAATTCTTCCTTTACTGCTTTCCAAACAGGTGTTCTCCCATTTTCCTTTGAAGCCTTGGTTCTGCCACTGACAAGGATCCCATCCAATTACTGCCCATCGAGGACAACAGACTAGTTTTAAAACTTGTTTTAAACACTTTTCCACCAGAACCATATGCAGCATGCTTAAATATACCAGAATAAATTCATATAAATCCATGGAATTAACCCTGATTGAACAGAGAAATCAGAATGTGGCTTAGGATATTGGATGTTACAATATTTATTAAGCAGCATGGAGATCCCCAGTGGATGAGAGCTGCAGGTCTCAAGCAGAGCACAGCCAGGCACGTGTCCTCACAGAGACTTCTCTGTCTGCCCTCCCTGCAGGCTGGTACATCCCCCTAAAGAAATTATCCAAGGCCTCCAAAGCCTTGGGATAAATGGGAATGAGCCAAGAAGTGTAGATGATGTTTGCAATGTAGATGCAGCTTGAGGATGCAGATCAAAGGCACTGTGGATGCTGCATTCAGAGTTTGGGCTCTTGCCCACTTTGTGAATTGGGCCCATGCAGATGAAAATAGTTCTTTTTACCTGGATTTTTTTCCTCTGTGCTCAGCTTCTCCCTGTAAGTAATTTGTAAATGTCTATTAGTCCTCCATAGAGATAAGAGAGATTTTTTTCAGCATGTTACAAGCCAGGCATTGGTATTCTTTCTATACATGGAACAAAACATGGTGGAAGGAATAGGAACTTCGCTTGTATCAATTAATCTCTCTTAATTCAGTGTGCTGCTAGTAACTTCACATGCACATCTTACAATAAAAAACTACTGGAAAGCACCAAGTCAATCATAGCAAAGCAATGTTAGTAGACTCTTTAAAAATCTGACCTGCAAAATAGAGTATTATATTGGAAACTTAGGATGGCCACAAGAAAAAAAAATCTCAAATAAAGGAGCAGATGCACAGCTAATGTAGAGAATTATTCAAAATTAACAGCAAAAGGAAAAGGTTCTTTCCTCAGGAGAGTTCAATTTATCCATTGTTTTAACATTTAGTGCCGTAAGCTAAAGGCACAGCTCCTTTCCTTCGGAATGGATCCAGCAGATTCCAGCCACAGAGCTGTGGTTTTCCAGCTCAAGAAGCTGTAAATTTTATAACTCTGCGCCCTGCGGTCAGAGCTGCTGAGTGCTGTGTCTGAAGTCAGGTGGTTGGTGTGTTAAAGGTAGACATTAAACAGTTCTGTTGAGGAACTGGAAATGTTTAAGGAGGTTGTTTGCCAGCTGTAAATTTGGGAGCAAATGCCAGCTGGCTGAAAAGATGCTGGAATGAGTCCAGTTAAGTAGACTAGCGCTGGAGGTATTTCCAAATTTGTAGGTCTGATAACTTGGCTGAATACGCAGACTTCAGTTATTGGGTTGTTAAGAAGGGGCTTTATAATGAATGTTTGAAAATACGATAGAAAACCTTTTATATGCTCGTTACTTTGGCAAAATTGCAACTTTGCAATGGTATTGCACTCCTGATGAAAACTCAGTCAGACATTATACACCATACTATTTTTCAGCTGAGCACCAGGGATGTCAAAGCATATGTTTTTTGTGCCCTGCAATATTTGTGTCTCCAATACTGCTCCATAGTTTGATTTTGCCCTATTCCTGCATGTTTGGGATGATACAGGAGGAGAGACAGGGATGCTGCTCTGCTTGGTAAACATTGCCTCTCGTTGCCTGCTGGGTGGGAAGGGGCTCTGGCTTTGGCTTCTGGCCAGGAAATGGAGAGGAAGTTCCCTTCTCCAGCCTGTTAGGATTGTGGATACTTCCCAGTGTGCAAGGAGGGGCTGTAGCCCAAGGTATTGGAATGTGTATGGCCCAGCTTGCCTGGTGTGCAGGATTTACCCCCAGGCACCCACCCAGCTGTGAGCTCCCTGCACCATTGCCTGCTCTCTGAAGGGAAGGATTCTCACAGGGCTTGTTCCCACTTGTCCCAGACCATCCCCTTCACTCTGCCAAAGCACCAGCGAAGAATTGCTCTAACAGGAGTAAAACTGCCACTCTTACCTTCTCATCTTCCCCCCTTCCTGCCCTGAACTCTGTGTTCAGAATGCATTCCATCTGTTCCTTGCCTCCAGTGTCACAAAGAGTACTTTCAGAAGACAAATGTTCGGTCTAATACTCCAAGATATTTTTATTAGAAAAGTTTTAAACTTTGCTGCTTTTTGGCCACTGGCACAGCACAGTTTTATGACAGTTGTCAGAGTCAAATGAGATGAGGACTAACCCTTACACGAGGTTTTGTGGTATGGACAAAACCTCCTCCGTCTTTGACAAAACTTATTAAAAGGCTAGACAGAATTTCAGCCTCTGCTCTTGAAGGAACACAGAGCACCCACTGAAATGGGAGAAAGTGTTTCTGGCTGCCTAAGATGCCGGGATCTGTGCTAATGCCTTAGACTTGGAGGATGAGTAAATGTAAATTAAAATATTTTGAGGTCTGGTCTGTAAGAAGAAGCAAGGAAGGCATTGTTTTAAATGAAGAATAGTGTTAGAGGGCTCAGTTCTTACTACAGTTAACACACTGCATTTTTTTCTGAAGCACATGTTCTGAAGCTTTATGCTTCAGATATTTGTCTCAATTTGTCCTTGAGAGGAGTGAGCACATTGTTGCAACCTGTTTTATCTGTAATGCCAGCAGACTTGGAGTTCAATATTCAAACTCTAGAGCAGCTGTTTTAACAGCTGGACTTTTTGCTGTCAGCAGTCTGACAGATTTGTGAAAATAAAAACGTTACTTTGGCAAAATTGCAGCTTTGCAATAGCATTGTGTTCCTGATGAAAACTCAGTCAAACATTATATATCCTACAGTATTTTTCAGAAGAGATGTTTCCCTTCATCTGAAGGGGCTATTAAATCTTATCACATTTACATCAGATAATCATGAATAACCAAGGGAAGAAGAAAAGTCCCCAAAAAAGTGAGAATGGTTTGAGTGGAGCACAGCAGCTGGGGTGCAGGAGCACACCCTGAGGAAGGAGCCTGGAGTGAAATACAGAGGCTTTGGGAGCTGCTCATTAGTGAGCCCCATGTGCTGGGGGCACTGGGCACTGGGGAGGTGTCCTGGGGAGCCACTAAGAGATCCCGAGGTCTGGGGTGCATCTGTGCAGGGCACAGAGGGGTTGCACAGCAGCCTCAGTTCTCTGTTCCCTAATTCCAGAGTATTCCATTTGAATCCTGTTCTTCTAAAATAGTTGTGATATATACTTGCATCTATAACTCATCCCTAAAGCAGATCTGGTATTCCTATTCCTACCAAGAATTTTCATTCAAAAGAGAGGTCAGCGATCACTCTCAGATCTATTTCTTCCATAACCTCACTGTTATTCTAAGGTGCTCATAAAATTAAGCTTGGATGGCTGAAAAATTCACATGAAATACTGGATTTACCTGTGCTTGAAGGAGTTTCTAATATGAATCCTCCCAGGGAAAGGCACATACTCTTCCATTCACTTGGAACTATTTGCCTTTTGCAGCCCTAATTGCTGTTTTCTCAGTTTGGATCATTATTGAGGTTCCCTGGCTGAAATAAAATCTTTGGCTACTAAGAATAGAAATTATAGCACTCATTTTTTTCTTTCTTCTAGAAAAGTAAACACTGTGCAGTCCAGATCCTTCATGTGTTCAACATTATTGAGCTGCAGGTTATGTAAATTTGGTCTGAATTTTCACCGTCATGGGCAATTTCTGTGTTCCAATAGGTACATTTGCAGAATACCTTAAAACCCTTGGCTACACTTCAAAATGTTATTAGATTTCTCAGTCTTAACATAAATGCAAGTTTGTTGCTATTTTATGAAACCAGTCTCTACAGAGATCAGTTCCACTTGTATGGATTGCTTAAGTTCTCAGGTCAGATATTATGCAAACTTCACTGATAAGTTATTAATATTTTGAATGACAATTATTAAACATAGACTTGAATTGTACTTGAAATGCTAATGCTTATCAAGAACTAAATTTAGGAACAGAGGTTAACTGCACCTGCTCTTTATGTTACTGTGACAGGATCCATATTGGTGGAGAGTTAAAAGTCATTAGAGCTCTGTAACTGTAAAGTCCCACACTGATTCTACTAAGTGTGGATATGAATGCACTTTGCTGCCAAAAGTTTCTAAAATAAATTTCGTTAAGTAGAAATTTCTCCCCAAATTTAGGTATGTGTCAGATGTTCGTGCATCTTGCAGTGATTATAAGTCAATCTTGAAATTAATACAGTGAATGAAAACTGCAATATAATTCACCACTAAAATAGTACACCCTTGAGAGCTGGGCTCCCTGAGTTAGATGACAGAAATTGTTATTATAGTCAGTAATCACACTTTCTATAAATTTTCCAACACATTATGCTGAAATAGTGAATAAAATATTCACTATTGGAAAACAGGATTTTTCCAACCCTTTTTTGCTCTGTAGACACCCAAGGACAGGTTCTCTCCTGCACTGAAATTTTATCAGCTTCAATCACCATGAGTAAAATTCCAGCTGAGGGTCTTACAAACAAAATTTATCCCCAGTCTGCATAGAAAGAGCTTTTTTACAAGAAAGTGGGTTGTGTTTGATACCCTTAGCCCCAAGAACTGAGGAAGCAATCTCCAGCCCCACAGATGCTGCTTTGCTCAAGCTTCTGCCAGGAAAGCATCTGAGTCCTGCTTGGTGGGCAAAGGCTTCCTCCTTGCTAGATGTTGCATCCAGGGATAAAATAAAGGGATAAAAGGGAAGGCCTTGTAAACCAGGCTCAGGCCTGCTTAATAGAAAAGGACTGTGGGAAAGTGACTCAGCTGAATTTGGGGTAGAAAAACAAGTTATATAACCATTAGGTGTTCACATCATGGTGTATGGTGGTTGGTTGAATTATGTATGTTATGATTTCAAGCTGTGTAACTGAGAAAGGCCTGGTTTTTGCAATAAAGCAGCTCTTCTTTGCCTGGGGACTCTGTGTCACCAGGGACCCTCACCCACAGCCAGAAGGATCAGCCAGGGCTTTGCTCACTGAAGAGAGGAGATGTCTCCCATGCCCAGATGCCAAACCCCTGTGCTGCAGTGCCCCAGGCAGAGTCCAGCCCTGCTCAGAGGGTGATGCTCTGGGGGTGATGTTCCACCTCTGCTGCCCTGACCCAGCCAGGTGCCCCCAATTGTCAGGAGGGGGTTCTGTTTCTGCACCCTCTCTTTCAGACCTGCAGGTGTTTTTCCAGGCAATGATTTGCTGTTTAGGAATTGCTTTGATGGTCTCTCCTTTGAGCCTCCTGAAAATCCTCTCACAAGCATGCTTTGTGTCTGTATATTTTGTGTGGATCTTGTTTAGTTCATCTTCCTTCAGACTAAGAATCCTTTCTTTTACCTCCTCCCCACCATTTTTTTTTAAAACAACCCCCAAATATCCCTCTACAGATCCTGTTACAAGGCAAAAACCCTGGGATTTCTTGGGAATACACATTTGCCAAAAGCAGCATTGAGAACAAGACATCTGTCAGGAAGCACAGCTACTCCTGGGTGACAGTGCAGTCTGAGTGCTCAGCGACCTGTGGTGGTGGTAGGTGACTCTCCCATTGCCAAGCCTCTTCTTTTTCATTCTTTTTAAAGCATCTCAAAGCTTTCCAGCTGCCTTTGATTTTGCAAATATATATTGATACATACAGGGGTTTACACTGAACACCTGCTCCTTAATTTTATCTGATAACTTAGAGGAAATAACTTGGTATGGCCTTCAGAGTAAAAAAGAGTCATGCCAGTGAGTCAGTCTTTTTTGTTTAGGTCAAACCATATGCATATCATATCTCCCTGTTGAAGTAATGTGGAAATTATTTATGCACTTTGATTTCCTCTTTTCTTGCACAGACATCTATTTGTTTTTATAAATCCTGCATGTTTTGTCAGTGAAAGTAAATCTGGGATGTTATGAAAGCACAAAGCTGGCATGTGGGAAGTCTGTAATACCAAAGGATACGACTGGGCACTGAAGGAAATGCTCCTGTATTGGCAAAAAAGTTCAGGTGAAATTCAGGAATACCTTGCTGGTACAGTGTCAGAACTTCACAGCATCTCAGTAAATGGTTTATGGAAGAAAGATCCACCAGGAGCCCAGTAGCTATAAAATATGACAGCTGTATTTTCTTCCTTCCCTTTAAAAGGCTGCAGCATGCATATAAAAATGATGAAAACAGTCTTGTTTCCAAATTTGATTCACTGTGCCCAATGAACCATGTGTGAGGTGAATGATAGATCTCAGTTAAAAGATAAATCTATAAAATCATTTAGGGCATTTCTGTAATTGTCCTGCTGCTGACACTTGACTGAGTCTAAGGTGCAGGTACCTGCAGAACTCTGGAGTCTGTAGAGATTCACTGTACAAAGAATGTTTATTTATTATTTACAGAATGTTTATTTGTAGTTTTCAAGTGTGTGAGGAGGGCTCTAAGCAAGCACTGCTAGTGTCTGCAGGGAATCAGGACTTGAATAAATACTAATTTTTGCTGGGGGAACACTCTTCAAATCTGTTGTTTAAGCTCAAATGTTTTATCTGACTTCAGTAGTATCTGTGCTACAGAGAGGGAAATCAATGCTAAGAACTTGTTGCCACATAAACCCATATTTTATTTAGTTCGAGTCAGTGGATTTGTAGCAAGGATGAGTTTAGACTTGTTTAGTTAAAATTGTTCCCTACTACTTTTTTCCCTGACATTTCAAATACAGGTTTGTTACAGTGTTTTCTTTTCTGACACTTCCACAGGACACATTACAGCAAAAGCAATTTGTTTGGAAGATCACCGTGCACGAGTCAACGCCTCCTTCTGTGGCCCAAGGACAAAGCCTTTGACTGAAACCAAGCCGTGCAACACAAACCCCTGCCCAGCCTAGTGAGTTCTCTGGGGTTTTGTGCCTGCTGGCTGTGCCACGGAGGGAATCCCCTCAGGGGGAATTGTTTGCTGCTGGATGGGGAATTGTTTGCCGGGTGCTCTGGGACCCAGGAATTGTTGAGGATGTTCTGCCCAAGGCTCCCAGTGGGATTTTGGGTCTGGTGCCTAAAGCAAAGCTCCTGAGGGCTCTGTCCCTGTGCTGGGGTGACAAGGGCACATCCAGCTTTCTCAGGGCTCCTTCTGCCACCTTTCCTCATCTTGAATCACTAAGCCCATTTCCTGAGTAAAGTGCTACTCCCTGCGTGGAAGCTCGGCCCCATGACTCGCATTCCACATATTAGATTAGGTTAAAAGAGTCTTGTGCAGTGTAATTAGTGATTTTTGGACAAAATGTCCCACAGAGTATTGTGATGCACAAAGAGGACTATCTGAATCAAATGAGCTGTCAGCAAATCTTCTGGTGCCCACAAAAATATATATGGAGGCATTGCCTTTGTGAACAATCTTACTTTCTAAAAGAGGTAATAAAGGCAAGATGCAAAGGGAGACATTGACATATAGATAAGCACTTAGAACCCAGCTGGTCTAAATCAATTTAAAAAGCAAGGGAGTTAACACTGATTTATAGTAGCTGATGTAGGGGTCCTTTGGAAAAAAAAAAGTTCTGTGCTTATATAATTAAACACAGTATTATGTGGCTTAGGATAAAAATGGATAGATTAAAGGACACTGTGGCCATCTTTCTTCCATTGGTTATTTCACTTTTGGATTCCTGAGTTTGCAACCTCAGCATTATTTAAATTTTATATTAAAGATCAGAAGAGCTCCATGATGTTGGATTTGCTATTTCAGCCTCCAAAACAGGAGATTTTATAAAGGAATATGCTGAAAAAATTAAGAGTGTTTCAGTCTCAGTGGGAAGTAAATACACTTGAAGGTGCATTGAAGCAGAAGAAATGGAGGAAGGGTCCAGACCTGGCATCATCTGCTGGTTTTACTCTGGGATGATAAAAGCAACAGTAAAAGCAGTTGGCTAAGCCTGCTCCCATAGTTCATAAAATATCCCATTTAATGATGTTTAATAGGAAGCATTCCTCATCCCTCCCAGTCTAGGAGAGCATGGTGGGTCAAAGCAAAAAGATGCATATGTTCTGTAGTGACTTTGGTTTTACTTTAAAAATCCATACTTTGCAATATGTTGAACATACTGAAAAATAGTTCAGTAATAGTTTGGAATTTCCTGCAAATTTAAAGAGTACAGCAGAGTACACCAAACCCAAATGCCAAATTACACACTATGACCACAAAAGGATAGAGATAAGGTTTAAATAATGATACCTTGTGACATGAGAGCCCCATGTTACTGCTTCAGCAGTTTCTTTAGACTGCGTTTAGCCACATGATTTTCTCAATACCAATTTTAAGTAATCTTTGTAGCCAAACACAATGTTTGCATGTGCAACTTATCTTCTGCCAGGACTATTTTTATCCAATGAACAGCCAATTGTATTGTCTGTGATGTCTGCAGGACTCTAAGTTCTTTCTGCTTACCTTTGTTTTGATGTGGCATCATTATTCTATAAAGCTCCACCCAAAACAGATTCACTTATATTGACCACACACAAAATTTCTATTTCTGATAACCTGAGATCCTGATGTCTTTTGAACATCCTCTGATATATATTTACCATGAAAATGCTGAATTTTCATTTTGACACACAGTGCAATGTTTTCATACTGAAATCACAGCTATTCTATGATTTACTACTTTAAAACAAAATTAATGAGTTGAACTATAAAATGAGTACAAAAAGAAAACATGTAAAAGCCCCAAGCACCTCTAGGGAAAAATAGTTCAACTCACTAATTAATTATTCTTAAAATCCTTAGGACAGATTAATGCATGGAGGATCTACATGTAGGACCATGCCTTAAATTAACAGGTTGCCATTCAGCTGAGTGAAACTGTGCCAGGATATCTCTGCTGAGGAATCTGCCCAGAAACTCACAGCATGTAATATTTCCCATAAACCCAAAACTGCCAACAGAAAAAAAATAGCAAAAATAGGATTAATAAATACCATGGAGGAAACAAAAGAATGCTTAACAGCCAGCAAATAAAGCAAACCCAAACACACCAGGCAGAACAGGCAGGGGAAGGAGGTGACAGATGAGATACAAGTGTGTCAGTTTGGGGATGTAAAAGAGGCTCCAGACTTGTGAAGGTCAGTGAGGAATAATTGCTGCATAAGAACAAAGGCTGATTAGTCTGAGTGGGCCCAAACTGCTGTCCCACACAGAAAGGCACCAGCTCTGCACACTGCTGTTGTTGGATTTCAGAGCTGCCAAATCTGGTCATAATTATTTAGTTATTTGAACTAATGAAAGATACTCTTGGATCACAGCCCAGATAATCTTGGAAAATGGAAGTTTACTAGAGGACATTAAAGTAAGTTTTCTGCCCTCTGCTCTGTGAAGAGGGGAACTTTCTGGGCAGTTATGGTGAATAAACTCTTAAAATGAACACTTTTGGTCACTCTATCAATGGCCATTGTCAGGAACATCAAGGCAAACTAATTAGAAGTTGTAAAATGGATTAAAACTCTTTTCTCAGAAGTTTTTAGTTCAATGGTCCAAATATTTATAAATCAGACAAAAAGGAAACTTCTGACATGTTCTGGAATTACATAACGACTGACTTTTCACATTAATATTTCTTTGTCCTTAAATTAGTGCCTTTTACATTTCTCACTACTTTTGGCAGTTTCTGAAGTTGCTAGATACTGAGAGCTGGGATTTCTTCTATTCCCAAAGACATTTTTCAAAAATAGGCTTTTTATAAATTTTTTACAATTAAAATTAGCTTTGTTTTCAAGCAGCTGTGAATAGACAGGCAAATGCGACCCTGTGCATCTTTCACACAGGATGAAGAAAGCTTTCTTGTCACTAAAGTTTTATGTAAGCAGCTATTCCAGTGTTCACAGGATTGATGCTGTGAGAAACTGTGGAAGCAGGATCGGCCAAGTGGTCAAATGTGAGACAAGAACCTTTTCCATGACATAAATTACTAAAAATTCGTCAAACTGTTTAAAAATCTTCAGTTTAATTTCAGTGCTGGGTCTTTGAATAAGAGTTCTCAGTGAGTAATCATTTAGTCATTCATAATTTCTTCTGCTTTTTCACTTCTGTTTTCCTATCTGGCTGTGATTATGGTCTTACACTGGAAGCCTTCAAGGACAAAGACACTTGGTTGCATGTTTGCAAAGTGTCCCACAATGCCTGGGGACCCTCAGAGCTTCAAGAATAGAAATAGTGAGCAGCTCCTGGCATTTCAAAACTGAACTTAGCCCAAGCAGTTGGCAATAACTCCTCAGACTTTGTGTCACTTGAGGGACATGGCGTGTAAACTGCAGTGTCCCGTGCCTGAGCACACATTGCCCAACAGCTTGTGCTGGTTAAATTACCTCTGTTTTATTTAGATTCTGCATCAAATGTCTGCCAGATTTATTAGTCTAAGGATTTGTAAATCATTGAGTTAGAGAATCATAAAGTCACAGCGTGCTTTGGGGCAGAAGGGACCTTAAAGCCCATCCAGTGCCACCCCTGCCATGGCAGGGACACCTCCCACTGTCCCAGGCTGCTCCAGCCCCAGTGTCCAACCTGGCCTTGGGCACTGCCAGGGATCCAGGGGCAGCCCCAGCTGCTCTGGGCACCCTGTGCCTCCCCCACCCTCACAGGGAACAATTTCTTTCCTTATATCCAATCTAAACCTGCCCTCCTTCAGCTTAAAGCCATTGCCCCTTTCCCTTGTGCATTCCCTTGTGAAAAGTGCCTCTCCAGCTCTCTTCCAGGCTTCCCTCAGGTACTGGAGGGATGCACTTGGGACACCCTGGAGCCTCTGTTTTTCCAACCTGAACAGCCCCAGTTCTCTCAGCCTTTCAGAGCCTTTTCATTTCCTCAGGACATCAGGGACAGCCCTGCTCCTTTTAGCAAGCAAGTTCTTTTGGATGAATACCTGTAGGGCCAGTAGATTTTGACAGAAATGCCAACATTTGTCCCCCTGTGTGAGTGGAGTGTATCTCAGCACAAACACAGTCGTACATACTCAACTAAATTCTATCTTATCTAATTCTAACTTATCTAATTCTATCTTCTAAGTACTCCACCTGCCTCAATAGCAGCATCTCTTTCAGTCCCTGTGGAACTCAGGATTCCAGGTCAGATTCATAGGCAAGCTGGTTCTAGTGGGTAAAAGCTGTAAATAAACAATACTTGTTTTTCTAGTTGAGTGACTTGTATTTCATCCCTAGCAGAAAGTTCCATGCTTTGAAAATAGATCATGTAACTGCAGCTTTTTGATTGCTTGAACAGATACCAGTACACCAGGAGATAGGCTGAGCAGGATCCCTGGATAATTCACATTTGATAGGTGGCTTTTTTTATTAATTTTCTACAGCTAATTGCACTCCTGTTTTTCTAACACACGTTTCCTCCTTTAAGCTGGTCAGCAGGTGAATGGAGCACATGCAGCAAGTCTTGTGGAGGGGGACAGCAAAGTCGTCTCATTCAGTGTGTCCAGAAAAGGGCTTTCCAAAGAGAGGAGGTGGTGGCGCATTCCCTGTGTCCTGTCAGCACCCCAGCACAGGTGCAAGTGTGCAGTGCTCAGGACTGCCCACCCGAATGGAGCCCTGGCCCATGGTCTCAGGTAATTCGGAGAAAAACTTACATTTTTGTCTGCTGGCATAAGGAAAACACTGCAAAAAATTCTCCCCCAAAACAACAGAGCAAACTTTGTGGAGATCAGTGCTTTGCATGTGGTTTTTTTTACTTGAAGATAATATGTAAGCTATGTTTGTATAAACATGTAAACTAAATGTGCATTGTAACCAGTCTTCAGAGGAGCTGGCACATGAGGGCTTGCCAGAAGTGGGCACGTGGTGTTCTTTTAGGTACATACAAACAGATGGAAAATTCTTTCTGGGTTCATAATTTAAGGCTCTATCCCCAACAACCCTCTATGAGATTACTTCCCAAGCAGTATTGACTTCTCTTAGAGATGGCAGGCAGTCAGGGAATGAAGAATATTTGGGGTTAGAGTTGCGTATTAATGCACATGTGTGTATGGATTGTGGATTGATAAATTTGTGATTTAGACATTGACTTCTGTGCTTATGCCTTTGTTAGAGTAGCTCTCCTGTAAGCAGTGCTGCTGCAGCTATTGCCATGAGGGCAAATTCCTTTGTGCATACCCTGCTTCACACACCTGACAGGGAAACACCTGAGCTAAAAACACACAAAACTCAGCTCTGCTCCATCTTTCACTGCTGTTGATGCTGTTCATGTAAGGATAAATGAAATTATCCTTCAAATAAATCACACATCTGGGTTTTAAGAGAGAGCTCACAGTACCCTTATAAAAGGATCTGCATTGATTTTATTTTTCTGTCTTCATTTAGTGAGATTCAAGTAATACATTTTTCAGCTAATTGAAATCCACTAAATTGAATTTAGTGGATTTCAGTTAGCTGAAAAATGTATTACTTATGTGTTTTGTTCTTGGTGCTGTCACTCTTCAGGTGTTCAAGAACATCTTGACCTCAGCACCCCCAGCTGAGCACAAAGTGCCCTGTAATGTTCTGTAACAGATGAGTAACTATTCAGTAGTCCAGCACAGCTCTCAAAAAAGGACTTTTTCTTCCAGCGTGTCTGAAGAAAACCTGAGTGTAGCAGAAGATTTTATAAAACAGGTCTTCAAATACATTCACACTTACAAACTTCCTTTCTTCTAAGGCAAATAAATAAATAAACAAACAAATAAATAAGACCATTACAAAAAAATCTGTTTTCCTTCTCTTTAAGAGGTGTAAAATTCAAGTTGCAATTCTCAAATAAGGCCATAAAAATTAAGTTCACCAGTCCTGCTGAATATAGTGAACAGGCCTATTGCACAAGTTAGTAAAGGTTTTAATATTCATCTGAAAACTGTAATATTACAGACTTAAATGTGGTAAGAAGAAAAAAAATGTAAAATCATAGAATCATAGAATGGTTTAGGCTGGAAGGGGCCTTAAAGCCCATCCAGTGCCACCCCAGCTATGGCAGGGACACCTTCCACTGTCCCAGGCTGCTCCAGCCCCAGTGTCCAGCCTGGCCTTGGGCACTGCCAGGGATCCAGGGGCAGCCCCAGCTGCTCTGGGCACCCTGTGCCAGGGCCTGCCCACTCTCAGAGGAGGAATTTCTTCCTAACATCTAATCCAAACCCAGGCTCTCTGCAGAAATCAGTGTCGTTTTAAATGAAAAGATCATTTTGTTTGGGGAAGGATTAAACCCACAGATTTTCAGCATGCAGATATTTGTTACACCTTCAGCACAATGGTGCTTTCATGAAATCTTTTAAAGACGTTTGTAATTTGATACACTGAGTGGTTCTGCCTTGGAACATGCCCCATAATTATTAGTAGAAAGGACAGCTAGAAGAGGATGCAAGAAGGTAGGAAGCTGGCAGCATTATTTCAGGGCTCTTTGCTTCATTTCCTCACAAATGGCTCAGTCAGGCATTTTGTTGTATGAAAGGCAGTGCAAACCACAGCATGTCTGTTCCACTGAACCACGGCTCATTGCAGAACCAATGCATATTTATCCTGGTGACTCCTGCAGCTGGCAACTAAAGTATCTCCTTAAGCACTGTCTGTATCAGATTCTGTCTCCTTTGGTGGAGTTATGTATCAATTCCCTGGGCAGTTTCCTCTGCCTCGGTCTCATCCCTCTAGGCCAAGGTGAGGACAAAATGACAAATAGCTGAGAGCATCTTGCCATGGAAGATTCTGTGGAGGGAGCTTAGGACCAGCTTTCAACTATGCTGAGCAGGGAAAAAGCATTTTGCTCACAAAAGCATTTTGCTCACAAGTCCAACTTACCTCATCTATGGAAAAGAGATTACTTGTCTGTTCTACATGGGGGCTGAGAGAGTTCACAGCTTACATTTAAGAAAGAACTTAGGACAATGTTTTAGAAGTGGCACACAGATGTTGCTGTTACTTATTTACCAACAGAATTTCAGGTTTACTTATATCATGATGGCAGCTGTACAGCACATTAGCCATGTTTTCTGTGCTCTGCTGGAAAATGCAAGTGATGCCAGCTTTCATTTCCTCCAGTTCAAAGAAGTGTTTCTTTAAAGAAGTGTTTCTTTCCATCACAGTGCTCCAAGACTTGTGGGAGAGGTATTAAGAAACGGGATGTCTACTGCAAGAGTCCTGGTTCTCCCAAGGTGAAAATCTTGCCTGAAAGCATGTGCAGCACAGAGCCTAAGCCTGAGTCCCAGCAGACCTGTGTGCTCGGCCGCTGTCCCAAAAACGACCGGCTCCAGTGGGTGATTTCTTCCTGGAGTGAGGTAAAGTGCTGCAGTTTCATGGCTCACTGCCTGCCCTGGCTGCTCTTGGCAATGCTGGCTCAGGGACACACAAACCGTGGGGAGAAAAGACAGCTGAGCTGTGGTTTGAAAATCAGGTATTCCAGGTGAGGAGCTTTAAACCCCAGATGGAGATGGAGGGACCCAATGTCTTTGTTAATCACTGTCTGGGGTTCATATTTCAGTTTACCCTTTACGGAGCATGGGCTTTGTGGGATTAGTTCTGTGATGCTTTTACAATGCACAATTTGGGGTGTCTGACCCATCCCAAGTTCCCCTTTATCTGCCTGTGTTTGTAAGGCTGTAGAAGCTGTGCTTTGCCTCTGCAGTGCTCAGCCTCCTGCGGGCCCGGCCTGCGGCAGCGAGAACTCAAATGTGGAGAGAAGAGCATCCACGGGAAATTGGTCACCTTCCCCCAGAGGAGATGCAGGAACATCAAGAAACCAAACACCAGCCTGGAGGAAGCTTGTAACAAGGGAGCCTGTCCATCACAGACGCTGTATAACATGGTGTCTGGCTGGTACTCCTCGCCCTGGCAGCAGGTAGGAATGGGCAATCAGAGGTGGCATGGCACAGAGGAGCTGCCTCCAGTGCTCACAGGCCCCAGGTGCCTCCTGCACGGGGCCACACCACTCAGCCCCTGAGATGGGATGCAGCTGCTCCACATCCATCATGTACTTTGGTGCAGCTCAGTGCTTTGTCCTGAAAATGAAGAATGTCACTTAAAAATGTTATTCATGCTTGAGAGGCACTACATTCCACACCCCTTTTCCAACACTTTCTTCTCAGTCTTCTTCAAAGTGCACTGTGCTTGAACTACTGCATATCTCTATGCACAGTGTATTTGAGCATCTGCACAGATTGCCTGGAATTCCCTAAATACTATGATTAATTGTGGGATCAGTCTGTATTTGTTTCTACATTCTTGCAAACAAGCTTCTGTATTTCTGGAACTTATCTACTTTATGAGTCATATATCAATGAGACATGCACCCATTTAATAATATTTACATGAAACAATGTATGCCTGACAATTGCAATCAGATGAAAATGATCACATTTATCTTAAAGACAACTTTTCATGAAACACATACAAGTAAAAGGCTTATTAATTTTAAAATACTTCATAGCTCTTCCTGCAAACCCATAGTGGTTTTCCCCAGATACTGCCATAATTATGGTTCTGATGGGATTTTTATCTGTGTTCAGGCAGCAGGGTTGGGCCCAGAGGCTTAGAGATCAAAAAAATCCATGCAAACAATCAGGAACAGGTTTCTAAAATGTTCAGTTTCTGTCTTGATGTCTAAGTAAGGAACCAGATTTTCAGCTGAGTCCTTAAATAACCACAAGACACGCACGCCTTTGAAAAGTTGGTCCTGATGGGGCTTGGTGGACAGCAGCACACCTGATCCTGACCTCTCTTGCTTTGAAAGTCTCATATGAGGCCCTTGAAAGCTCTCCCTTTGGCTTTCAGGGCTCTCAGAGTCTCTGCAATGCAGCCAAGGTTTTGTTTTCCCTCTGCCCAGTGCACGGTGACCTGCGGCGGGGGAGTGCAGACGCGGAGCGTGCAGTGCCTGCGCCAGGGCAGGCCGGCTGCTGGCTGCCTGCCCCAGCAGAAACCAGCTGTCCTGAGAGCCTGCAACACCAACTTCTGCCCAGTCCCCGTGAAAAGAGGTAAAACTCAGCTCAAGATGCTGCAGCAGGCTTGTTGCTTAGAGTTCTATACCCAGCAAACATCACCTTTTCGCTACACCACTGATCTGGCCTGTTCCTTCATAGCTATTTTGTTCCTAGACTTCCACATTTACAGTAACTCTCTGATATTAACAGCATCTCTTCTTCACCAAGTGAGCCCTCTTAAAGCAGACTTGGGAGTACAACTGGTACTGGAGATTTTTTAAAAAAGCATATGTTAAAAGAAGTATGTGAAAAAGTCTTGCTGTTTGGTTCTGAACTGCACCTTTATTAGTCTCTTGTTGAAAAACACAAGCATTCTATGCTGGTACTGCTTTTGATGAATAATAGCCACTTTGGAACTAAACAATAAGAATTTGCCATATATTTTCAGTCTTCCAGACCTCACCCAGCTCCTGGGACTCCAAAATTGCTTTACCTAGAATGTCCATCTTATTGCTTCTGAGCAGTGCATGGCATGCAGTCAGGGAACATGAAATTAGGGTCTCTCTCCACTTTCATGTCCACTCTATCTCTCCACCTCTTCAGTGTGAGAAGGGAGGGGGGAGCAAGGGATTTTGTGCCACATGGAATGAGGGAAGGGGATTTCTCTCAGCACCACCACAGACAAAGAGTGGTGCATTACCCTGTTCCAGAGATTTGCTTACAGGGTGGTTACTGTTTGTGACTCTTTCCTAACTGCATGAAAAATGCTCATGGAGGTCCATGTTTGTCCCACATAATCTGGTTATGCTAAAGCACTTTAAATTGTGACTTTCAAAATCCTGCACATTAATTGACCTTTTTAAAACTGGGAGCTGAAAGCAACCTCTATAAAATCTAGGCTGGACTGCGTGAGGAAGGTGGTAATGGAGCTGGGAGCAGAGGTCAAGCTCTGGCCCTGCATCTTGTAAACTGACATTAGCCAACCACCCCCATGTCTGCCCAATTCCTGGCATTCCCTGTGCACAAACCCCCTGTGAAACCCAGTGAGATCCTAACAGACCTTTCTGCTGCATCAGCCTGAGACATGCAGGCTATCACACTCATCTATCAGGGGACCTGAATCCAAACAAGGATATGGAGATGAAATGGTCCTAAAAGGGATAAGTAAATAGTTCTGCTGTTTTTATCAGTAAATGTTCCTAACACTTCAAATTAACATTCCTAAAAGGTTCTGCTGTACTTCAGAGTTTCTGTATAGCTTCCTTTTCTGTTAGGATATAGCAAGGACTTTTCTTTCACCTCTGTTTTCCCCTGCTATATTTCATGTCTGAAATACTGTCTGTTATTAATTTTGGCCTTGGCCTGCTTCTCTCTCTCCTCACATCTGCAGGAGCCCTTTCCCCTTTATTATACCTGGGTCATCAGGCTCTAGAGATCAATTATCTCCTCGCTGGTCTCTAACTTTCTGTCTAAAGCAGGAAAAAGAGAGGAAACCAGCTGGGCTGGAATCACATTGAAGCAAATCAGTCTCTATTATCAGCCATGCAGCTCCAGCTCAGTGATCACAGGCAAGAAATTAATGTTTCAAGGAGAGTTTGCACACTTTCCTAGACAAACTGGGTCATTTCCATCCCTCTCTAGATGCAGTTACGGTCACCGTAACTCGAAGTAAATCCAGCTGCTTCAAATGAATGAAAATCTAAACAACTTATAAATACTTGGGTAAATAGAAATAAGGACCTGACTGCCTGATCCCCACCCACTGAATTTTATGGGACTCTTTGTGTTCCTTCCAACAGTCCTTGGATTAGGTCCCAATTTCAGCCATACCTCTGCAATATTAGCATTGCCCTCTGATCTTCAAAGGGGACATAAAGATTTATTAACGTGGCTTCCTTAGTGCTTATACTTTTTTTTTAACAGTAATTTCCAATTTTTTTGAATTCACCCTTTCATGGCCGGAGAGCTCCTTCATCCCTTCATCAGAACAGCTTTCCTTCCTTGGTGTAGTGTGTGCTTTTCATCTCTTGTCTGCTTTGGGCCCTCCCAAATTCTGTCTGGTGGCAGCGGGTGAAGGAATGGGGAGTCTGGTGCTGAACTCCCAGCTGGATCCCTCCTGACACTCCATGCAGAACAGAAAGGCAGTGCAGTGGAGTGGGAAGGTTGCAGTCCAGTCCTGACCTCCCCAGGTCCTGTTCAAGAACAGTATTTTCTTTCCCTACCATTAAAGCTTAAAGGCTAGCAAATGTTTTTAAAACCTGAGGAAAAATGGCATTTAAAAAGAATTATTAGTAAATTATTTTCTTTTTCACTCAAATAAATTTTAGAGTGATAAAGGCATAAAATATCTTCTTTGTCATCATACAAAAGGGAATAAAAAATGAGCAGTGGTGATTAAACCAAAGAAGTTGCTATAGAGAGATGGAGATGCCTCCTGGTCCAGGGAACATGCAGAAGTTGTCTGTGCTCTGTGAGGGAGCATTTATCTACTGTGACTCAGTAACTGATCTAAGAATGCAGACAGTGGTGGGTAGATTTTTGTTCAGTCTCCTTGTAAATTCCTTTTATTGACCATGTAAACAGTAGTTCTGAGAGCTGAACAAAATCTTTACCCATGCTTGCAGGAGATTTCAGTTTAGCTATAAATTTTGCTAAACCCCATTGAGTCTTACTGCTCTCTCAGACATGGTGAATTTGTTTATAAATCACCCATATGAATCATCACTCTCCTCTTTTAAAGAAACATAAAGCATCCACTGCAAAACGAGAGAGGAGCAGCTACGAGGTGTTTTTAAAGCCATGGAGCTGTGTGTATAAATGATATCTTCACATAAATTGAAGAGTAACAGGATTTTAATTGAAAAATATAATTTGGCTGTATTTGTAAAGAAAAGCTGGGCTTTTGAGAACTAACCATGGTTAACAAGTCTCTTCTCCCATTGCAGTTAATTAAGATTTTGCTAACATGGCATAGTCGAGACCCTAAAAGCTAAATCATGACACCTAACTGAAGTGTCTGAGCAAAGAGATTTCTGAGGTTCCCTGCAGAGAAAAGGGAGAGAAAGAAGTGTCTCCAGAAAGTGCAGGAATACAAGCACAGAGCAGAGCACTTTGTGCAGGGCCCAGGCATTCCCAGTTCCGTGAGGTCTGTGTGCAGGTGAACTCCACGTGATGATGATGATGATGATGATGATGATGATGATGATGATGATGATGATGATGGCAGCCAGCAACTGGTACCAAATATGGAGCAGGCTCATTTGTATGAGTACCTGGGTTTGGAGCAGCTGTAATTAGAGATGTAAACACAGATGGCCTTTTTTATCCTCTAATGTGGAGCTTCCTCCTGTCTTCCTGAGCTACAAAGTGTGATCCAAATTTTTTAATTCCTTCAGCTTTTGACTCCCCTATAATATTAGTTCTATCTCGATCAAGTCAACAAATCTCTTGGCAAAAATTTAATGGCTCTTAAAATAAAGCAAGAAACTAATATTTTTGAGATTAAAGCTCATTCATGTTTCTTCTCCTTTGAATCAAGTCACCCATCATGTTTTTAATATTACCAAAGGCATACAAGGGTGTGGGACAATTGCCGACTTGCAGACTTGCTAAAGCACAGCCTTACCATATTGCTTGGGTTTCTCTCCTTCAGATGATCCTTCTTGTGTGGATTTCTTCACTTGGTGTCATCTGGTGCCCCAGCATGGTGTCTGTAACCACAAATTTTATGGCAAGCAATGTTGTAAATCATGTACGAAGAAGAACTGAGAGCAGCGTGTTATCTGAACCCTTCAGCAACAGGATTCTCTTCTTCAATTTATGTTGGATTTATCTCTGCTTTGAGGCAAGACATGGTGCCACATAAACCACTGATGGGAGAGACATTTTTTCTAAGGGAATGTCTGAGGTACAGTAATTGTTGGATTTATGTTGAAAAAGGAATGTTTCTTTCTTATTTTTTCTTAATTTGCTGACCTCACTAAAGCACAGGGTACTATGGATCACTTGAACACTGAGACTCAAGGGGAAGTTCTTTCTTTAAAAGTGTCATTTTGCACTGTCACATGTTACGAGGAAGAAATTAAGGCAAGGGAGCCTTTTCTGGCTGATTTACCAGAATGCAAAGCAGGAGAGCTTGGCAGCTGAGGAGGAGGCAGCAGGACAGAGCACACACCATCAGAAGTGTGTCCTTTGCTATTTTTTGTGACTGTTGTCCCAGGGTGAGGAAGCTGTTTGCTGCCCTGGAGGGACATCCATGGCTGAGGGCTGGAGAAGGCAGTGTCACACGTGTGGCCACCAGAAGTTAACAGTGCACTACAAAGATATTATGGTGCTTCTCTACCAGACTTGCTGCTGGAAAAGCAAGTTGTGCATCATGCTAATGTTTTTATAATTTTTGAAGAATTCATTTTCTGCTTTGTGTAGAAACTCAGAGGTGGTTAACTAGTAACTTGAAATGTATTCCTAGAAATGTGCAGCAGTAGAATATTTGGACTTTTAATATTGCTGTGTTACAAGTAAAATAGAATTGCATATTTCAACTAACTCAAGGAACTCAGATTGATTGAGCTCAATGGTTATGTTTTCAACTTTCTAAGCTCATTAGATATGTAATTTTAAAATTTAAACTTGATATTTTAAAGTAGTTTTGTTTCAGAAGCTAGATTGTTTGAATGCCAAGATACTGAAGAATGTCTTCCTTCTAATCTCAAATCTCTCTGCAAATTTTGATTCATCCATTACCCAACGCAAATAACAAGAATACTGCAGTCCATTAATTCAGGCTGAACTTCTCTAAAAAGTTATTTATTCACATTACATAAAAAAAAAAAGGCATGAAAAGATAAGTGGATTATTCACTCTTACCAAATAAAAGTCAATTCTATTTTTATACACCCTCCTAATACTTGTATTTAGTTCAGAATCTACCAGCCAACTAAAGAATTGTAAAAATGCTGATATTTGTGGCCGTTCGGTATCGAGCTGTTTGATGGCACCATGTATCAAATGGTGCCATTCAGAACATTTCTGCCTTGAAAAAACCCCAACATATTTGCCAAACCCATTCCGAGACAGAGCTGTGTCCTACTGTAATTTTCTGGGGAGTGCCTATGAGGGACATATTTATCTAATTCCACCCAATCCCACAACTTTTTTTGATGAATGTAGTTCAGTTTGAGTGTTTTTTTAAAGTATGGTTTCAGTGTAGGATTAGCCAGCTCAGCACTAATGCCAGACAGTGGTCACTTAAAATTAGCAGTTCCTTCTGAAACAATTTAAATTAAAAACATGTATTCTGTGTTACTTTAGGAAATGATTGGAAACATATCTCAACCTACACTGCTCTGTCTTGATATTGGACATTGTGTAATTATAACCTTTTTTCTAGGAAAACTAAGATGTTGGTTTTGTTTTGTTTTTATAATTGTGTCCTTTTTATTATTTGATGTAAAATAATTAATTTATTAATGCATAGCTTTTCCTTTATATTTCTTTGCTCACTTCCCTAAGTGAGAACTGAGGAAAGAAAAATGGTAGTGTCACAAAGTATGAATTATGGTGTAAAAAAGCAAAAACTATAAGTGTAATATTTAATTATTTTATAAGCTTTGTAATAAAATACTCTAACTGTTTCATTATATTTGGAATTGTAAAATTCATGAATAAAATATGGAGGTTATAAGTAAATATCAAGTGTTACAAGTGCTGTGTGCATTCCCTTGCATCTTTGTTGGTTGTCCCATAAGGAGAAGGTTATCCTGTTTTTCTGCTGCTGTGTAATTGGGAAATTGGGCCCAAAAAGGCAAAACGGAGCAAAACTTCATGGTTTTATTTGTATGACAACACAAAAGCTAAAATACACAACAATACATGTGCAAGACAAACCTGAGCTGTTGCTCCTCTCAGCAAAGACAGTGGGAATTTGTGTATCCCAGAACCAGCAGGATTCCTCCCTGTCTTTATCTGCAAGGTGGTATTCGAGATAAGGAGCCTCACTCAGCACAGCAGGAGGTTTTACAGCCTCTCCCATCTGCCTGGGGATACTCGATTTTTCTATAACTGGCTAAGAACCTTCCAAGCCAATCCCTAGGAGGGAGGGTATAATTTCACTGATCGTTTCAGATATATTCTCCAGCATATATTGGTGCTTTTCCCTTCATTCACAATCACTCAGTGCTCTCACAAGTGCCAGATATCCAGAGGGCTGTTGATAGAAATACTGAGATGCCTCTGACACACAGTACAATCCAGTAAGCAATAATAGATCAGTCTGCTCCTGAAGGACTCCCAGCAAGAGATCTTTGGAATGGGATTTGGACTAGTGATTTAAGTAATTAATATGCCCACACAGGAATTCAGACTATAAACTGCTTAGTGTTTGGGGCTAGAATTTTGGAATCCAAATGAACCGATGGTTGTCAGTGAATTACAGTGTTGGAGGGGGATGTTGAAAGAGGAAATATTGCATAAAGATGTGCTATTGTGTGCTTGGATCCCCCCCAAGTCCACAACTGCTTTATTGCTGAGCCCTTACGACAATATTTGGTACACAAAGCTTGGCAGTTTTCTGGAAGTGTATTGCTGCAAGGCTCACTTTATAAAGCAGAATGGGGTCTTTTCACAAAGGAATAGCTCAATTTCCTGTGGTCAGATTTCATCACTCAGGTAAAGGATTCATCTGCCCAAAACTCAAACAGATATTTAATGAATAGCTTGATTGTGTAAATCAAACTCAACTCTCTCAGATGCCCAGAAGACATGAAATGCTGGAGACAGATTAATGTTTCACTGCATGTGGTTTTATGGTAACATGATCCATATCCCATATTTCCTTTATTTTTCAGCAAATCCTATTCAAAAGCATCAAGAAAATAAATTAACATTATGATTTCTATTGTAATTGAAGTGCAGCCTTACAGAGTCACTGAGATGCCACTGTGTTCAGGGCTGTGTGCACAGGTCAGGAGGAGCTCAGAGTCCTTAGGGTGCCACAAGAAACTGAGGAAAAGATCATGTTCATAGGGAGCTCATGGTGATTAGGAGAAAAAGTGCTGCTGGTGGCTCACTGTCTGTGTGGACAGTGCAGGACATCTCCAAGGCAGCTCTGTGCAGGTGAGATCTGAAGGAACAGTACTGAGGGACTTTATCCTGACACTGCTTTGAAAGCAAAAATGAGGCATGTTCAGTGCTGAGTCCTAACCAAGATAGGGACTGTCCCAAGAGGAGGGAAATCCATGTGGATCACTCACCTGCCAGTTACTGGGGACTGAGAAGTGAGGATCTGGAAAAGCAGTAAACCTCCTTCTTGCTGAAAAAGTCCTGAAATAAGGGGATGCATCTTCCAGGAGATGCTTTAAATTCCTCCCCAGGCACTACTGTATGAACATCAGCCAAGCCAAGCTGACCTCCCTGCCTGCTTCCTGCTCACTGGGCACCACCACTGTGGGTATTCTTCCTCCCCTGCTCTTCAGGACAGACCTAGGTCCAGGCTGGGCTGGAATGTGTCCTTTGATGCAGATCACACTCTGGAGCCCTTCCCCTTCCCACGAGCACAGTCTGTGGCAGAGGGGCAGTGGGACCAAGCTGATCCTCAGCCCTGCAAAGGTTACTGACAGCATCTGCCTGGCAGTGCCATGGGGAAGCCACAGCCCCTGCTGGAGCACAGGGAATCAGAAACACACTCTGGCCTTCCAGCAGCCAGCACACACCAGGCAGGGCTGAGGGAAGGGGAGAAAACATCTGCCAGCTGGGCTGAGCTACAGGCAAAATCTGAATTCCTCAATTCACAATATGTAGTAACATCAAATGCAGTATTCCTTATGTTCCCTGAAGAAAAACATCTATTATGGGGCCTATGCTTCAATCTAGTAAATATTTTATGTACTTTCCATTCAATAATAAGAATTATTCAGTCATGAACAGAACCTGTTTTATAATTTCTGGATTCTGCCAATGGAGGCAGGAACCTTCAGCTAAGTTCTAACTTCCAGGCTTACTTTGTAAGCATTAAAGCAAGCTATACATGTCAGCCTCAACACTGCTGTGTGCCTACTGCAAAAAATGACAGATCTTTAGCATCCCTTGGGCTGCCAAACATTAATTATGTTCTGTTATGATAATGTTCACTAATCCTTTCATAATAACATAGCAAAGCTGACCAAAAAAAAAAAACATTAAAGAGGACTATAAATGGATTTTTATGAGAAATATTTACTACTGAAGCTCTTCTCTGTGGAGACCAAAGAGACTTTGGAGGAAAGCACACACAAGGATTTTGGTTTTTGGGACCTTCTCAAATCATCACATCTGAATTTTGTCTGTCTGATAGCACAAACTGAAGGGATTCTCTCCAAAGGAGGAATGACCTACCAACACTCTGCTTCCATGGAAATAATTGTCCTCTACTGAGGACCATCTATGTCACCCTACTGTCTCTGTTTAGATTAGTTGAAAAGAGTCGGGATATCTATTAAAGGAATTTTCACTTTCAAAGACCTTAACTGTACAGCTCTCTCCATTGATATTTTAAGTGGATCAGAACATTTCACTCTTAGAGAATCTGCCTGTCAGCAGAAAGCTCATCAGCTCAGGTTTTGTAAAAATAAACTGCAGATGCCAAGTTGCTAGAACTTCCATGAGCCTGCGCTTTGCTGGTGTATGAGGAAAAATCAACCAACACAGACAGTAACAAGCTGTAAACACAGCTCTCTCCCATTAAATATAGGATATACTACATGAAACTGTAGCATTTCCCACAACTTAACTTGGAAGGGTTTGGTGTCCACTTCCAAACTACTAGTTGCAAACCCAAAATTGTGTATAAAAAAACTGGAACATCTCATTTGAAAAGCATCCAGCTATTGACTGAGGCTGTCAGGGGGTTTGTGTGACCATGTCAGACAAACCTGAGCTGGCCTCATGTCCTGTGGCCACTTAACATCTAATGCTGACTTTTTATTTTGTTGTTTCTCAGTTGGAATGGGACTTTTAATGAAAAACCATGAACTTGGTATAAGGTTATTGCTCAGGTAAAATCAGGCGTCAGGATTAGCCTGCTGATCTCCATGTCCAGCAGAGCTGTGTGACATTTGGCACATGGACTGGGGAGCAGAGCAGTGCAGCTCCCACAGGCTGGTACAAGCACTGAGCTCTCTAAGACATGCTGTACATCTGTCCCACTCATCAGCTGTTTCATTTGCTCCTTAGCACAGTGAGTCTACCCTAGAATTTGCACATTGTTGAGAATCCTGCCCAGCTTCACCAGCCTTGCTACTAAAGAGTAAGGCAGAGTAAGGTAATAGTAAG